AATATGAAAAAAAGTAATAATTTCCAGTTTTTCTCAAAATATACATTGTAAGCACAAAAAAACTTAATTAACATAACATCCATTAGCCTCTCATTCAAACGTCACCCATGATAAGTTGTTTATTTGCAATTTATTACGATAAGAAATGACGTTTTATCTACGTAACACAAAAAACATTACTTGTAGAACTTGGCTTTGACATTATATCAATTCCAAACATTATAAAATAAATACTTTATATCTCGAGAATCACAACAAAACTCAACATTTTATGCGATTTATTCACAGGTGATAATTAAAAGAAACGACCTTTGATTCAACTTTTCTTAAAAAAAAAAAACATGAAATATAATTTTCTTGACATAATAATCATCCAGTAAAACACTAATTAGGCTTGTATGTTATTTGAACTCACAAAATGTTTAATTCATACATTACGTTAATTAAAACAAAATTTCATTTAAATAAATTCATTGTGGAAAAAAAACGCAATTAATTTAAAACTTAAAAAAACATTGACTAGACTATAAAATTGTGACATTTGAATTTGACAGTCAGTGTTACCAAATTGACATTTTAGTCATTCGTGGCCCACTTGAGGACACAATTCTCTCTCTAAATTATTCAGTGTTGCCACTTGGATCAAAACCAGGCTGAAAAATATTGACAAACTCAAGTTGGGGTTCCTCTAAGGAGCCATAAGCAAGAAAAAAGTTTTGGGTGTGTTTCTCGGGAATTTTATTTAGAAATAATAAATAAAAATGAAATTTTACAGAAAAAGAATTTACCAAAATTGAACCAGAATTTTTGCTATATTGTGTTTTTTTCTGCCGACAATAAATCGGCTTCACTCAATTCCTTCCTTGGTCGCTAAGAGTCCTCCAGAATCCAAACAACCGACATCTCTTTCAGCCCACTCAGCGCCACTGAAGTAGCCATTTTCAGGCATTTTCTCTGCTTTTTCAGAGTTTGGACACAAGAATTTCAAGTCGACTGAAATTTCGATAACTTAATCAACTCACTGTCTTAACAAATCACCCGAAACTTTAAATTAATGGACGCTGAATTTGGGGTTAATTAGTTGGGAAAAACGCTAATTGGGTTTGTGGTTTATTTCAGGATATGCCGTAATAACTTTCTTGTCTTAATTTTTCGAAAACGTACAAATTAAGCGAAGATAGTGAAAGTGTAACAAAAATAAAACATTTTTTATTTCCTTTAGTTTTTCTGTAACTAACTTTTTCTCATTTTATTATTAAAATTGATCTTTTCCAATATTTTTTTTCCAAAATACCGACTGATGTTTTAGTTGAGTTCAATTCTGAATTGGATCAAATTTCATGTTTAGAGATGTTTTTGAAGCACGGAAACCTTCAATTAATTAGTTTTCCAAAATTTACAAATAGTATAGTTTTGTAACTGTCTGAAAATTTTGATTTTTTTTTGAAAGATGAAATTTCAAATTTTTTTAATACCATATACAAAAAATATATATTCCGAAGGGGCGTTAATTCCTATAATTCCAAATTAATTCCGAAATTCAACGTAATTTTCAGCCAATAATTCCAAAAAGAATTCTAGTAATTCCAAAGAAAATCCAGTAATTCTATTATTTCGTCGAAATTCCATTGTTTTTAGATTAATTTTGAATCTCTGTAAATAGAACTTACTATCTTTGATAATTCCAAAAATAATTCCAGTAATTTAAAAAAATCCAGTATTTTACAAAAAATTTCGATAAGTAATTTAAAAAAATTCCACCAAAATTCAATTTCAAAAATTTTGTTAATCCATCAGAATTTTATTGTTTTTGGATTAATTCCTTTAATTCTAAATTAATTCTTGTAATTACAATATTTNGATTAATTCCTATAATTCTAAATTAATTCTTGTAATTACAATATTTAATTTCTGTAATTCCAAGGTAATTACGATACTTCTAAGACATTCAACGTAATTTTGTAATTTACAAGTAATTCCGGTAATTCAATTCTACTAATTCTACTAATCTATCGTAATTCCATTGTTTTCAGATTAATTCAATTCCTTTAATTCTAAATTAATTCTTGTAATTACAAGTCATTTCCAACTTAATTTTCATAATTTTATAGCTCTTGTATTTCCAAATTAATTCTAATAGTTCCATGAAATTCAACGAAATTGTCAAAAAATTCTAGTACTTTCAACGTAATTCTCAAAAGAATAAATTATCTCCAATGATTCCAAAAAAATCCAGTAATTTTAATTTCATCGTAATTCCATTGATTTTAGATTAATTTTGAATTAATCTCTTTAAATACAACTTAATTTTTATTATCCTTGATAATTCTAAAAATAATTTCAGTAATTTACAAATAACTCCGATAAATAATTTTAAAATATTCCACCAAAATTAAATTTCAATAATTTTATTAATTTTTGGATTAATTCCTTTAATTCAAAATTAATTCTTCTAATTACAACATAATTTTGTGATTCATAAGTATTTCCGACAATCAAATTCGAGTAATCTATTAATTCAGCGCAATTCCATTGTTTTTAGATTAATTCAATTTCTTTAATTCCTTCTAACTTAATTCCAACTTAATTTTCACAGTTTGATAGCTTTTAAATTATTCGTGTAATTCCAAAGTAATTCTAATAGTTCCATGAAATTCAACGTAATTTTCAAAAAAAAAATTTCAGTGAAATTCAATTTTACTAATTTTATTAATCCATTGTTTTCAGACTAATTCCGACAATTTTAAATTAATTCCTATAGTTTTAAGAAGTTCAACGCAATTTTCAAAAGAATAAATTATCTCCAATAATTCCAAAAAGATTTCTAGTAATTCCAAAAAAAATCCAGTAATTCTATTATTTCATCGTAATTCCATTMTTTTTAAATTAATCTCTGTAAATACAACTTAATTTCTGATTTTATTTTTGATAATTCCAAATTACTGGAATTTCAAAAACATTTTTAGTAATTTCAAAAAAAATCCAATAATTTACAAATCCTTCCGATAAATAATTAAAAATTCCACTAAAATTCAATTTCAATAATCTTATTAATTTATTGTAATTCCATTGTTTTTGGAATAATTCCTTTAATAAATTAGCTCTTGTAATTACAACTTAATTCGAACATAATTTCCGTATTTCCTACTTAATTTTCGTAATATAAAAATAATTTTTGTAATTATAACTTAATTCCAATTTAATTTTGATAATACTGTAACTTTTAAATTATTCGTGTAATTCCAAATTAATTCTAATAGTTCCATGAAGTTCAACGAAATTTTCAAAATTAAAAAAAATTCAGTAATTTCAGAAAAATTTCAGCGAAATTCAATTTTAGTATTTTTATTAATCCATTGTTGTCAGATTAATTCCCATAATTCCCAATTAATTCCTGTGCTTCCAACTTAATTTTCATTATTCTATAATAATTCCTGTAATTTCACATTAATTCCGATAGTTTTAACGCTATTTTATTTACAAAAGAAATTATCTCCGATAATTCTAAATAAATCTTGTAATTCAAGAAAAATTCCATTAATTGACAAATAATTATAGTAATTCCAGACAATCCAAAAATAATTTTAATAATTCCAAGCAATTGCGTAGCTAAAACAAATTTTTGATGAAAGTAATTACTGCAAAAGTTGGTGTAACATTTCTTTTTGAAACCAAATCGGAATCGATGTTCAATCACAGCTTTACTGAAATGCGAACCAACAGAACTGGAAGAATCGCCGGTTTTGAGTATTTCATTGGCTGTCATTCAACTACGACATTTCGCATTGTATTACAAATAAAACGCAATGCAGCAAAATTGCCCCCAACTAATCCCAAATAAAATTCTATTACAATACTTCYAGTTGTMCAAATAAAACTCTAATTTACAAAAATCTCAAACAATTTAAATCAGTCATTTATCACGTCGTTGAGCAAATTTTAAATTTACTACTTTATTGTTTGCGGCTATAAATTTTTATTAAACCGCGAAATGTGGCAACGTCATGCCTAATTTAAATCGCATTAAAATAAAATCAATGCTGGGAGTAATTAAAAAAGCTTTTGATAAAATGATCAGAAATGCCTAATTTCGTTTTAAACTTTTGTGTTTTATAGCTTGGCAAGCCTGTAATTACACATAATCATACGGTTTTCGCTATCTATTTGAAAGATAAAACGGTGTAATTACAAAATATGATTACAAAATGAAAACTTATCGAGTCTTGAGGGGAATTTAACTTTGTTAAATAAAGTTTCGATGGCTGAGAGGTCTAAATTGATTTCTTGTTAGTTTGTTTTAGAAAAATACCAATCCGGTTTTTCAAAAGCGGACTTACCCTACAAAAAATTTAATATTACCCGCCACTGGCGCCTTACATTCATAATTTCTCGTTACCATAGTTACATTACATTTCTATAGCAACAATTCACTTCAATTTTAAATCACCAGCATTTCCATAGCAACTGTACGAATTTGGTCACATGTGCGACTCGTCAAGGGAAAAAAAGGGTGACATTTCAATTTTCTTAAGTGGTTGGAAATAATTAACGGTTTTTCTTTGATTATAAGTCGCTTAGTGAGTTTTCTAGTTTTTTTTCACTTTTACACCACCTAGCCGTAATGTAATTGGCGTTATTGTTTCCATGAGAGCGATGATTAAAATCTATGTTGATTATTTCCTGAAAATTTTAAAATGAAATTGCGTTTAATCACGTAACAGGTCGTGATTGTGCACGGAAGCGATTTTTTTCAGTTTTTCAGGGGGAGTTCATGTGACTTTGCTTAGTCACAAGCTAATTTTGGATGTTGTCTGTTGGCAAGAACCGCTAAACAAACTGTGACTATTGTAATACCCACGTGATTCGGATTAATTGAGATATTTTCATGATTTTCTGAAATATTTGAATTTTATTGATGCAAAACTCGCGATAAAAATCGAATTAATGAAGTTTGTGTTTGTTATATTTGAACCTAACATGTTTATTTTTGTTTGTTTCAGTATGTGGAGATATACATGGTCAATTTTATGACCTTATGAAATTATTTGAAGTAGGGGGACCACCCGCTAGTACAAAGTACCTTTTTCTCGGTGATTATGTTGATAGAGGATATTTTAGTATAGAGGTAAGCATTTTTAAAAGTTTTTCTCAGTGTTACGAAGATTTACATTTCTTTTCCGCTTTGTCTCTTATCTTTATTCTACTAATGGATTTTGGTAGTCACGGCTTCGAAACTTTTCAGACAATTGTTTTTTCAGCGGCTGAAACTGATTTTTCAGCAAAGTGATTGACACCCATGGAAACCAAATTTGTTTCATCTTTTTTCAGACATATTTCATGTTTCATATTCTGACATAATTTTTAAAAAAAATGTGCAAAATTAGTCAAAGTAAAATTTCAATATTTTTACAAAAAATGGCAACACCGCACCGTTTGTAGAACATGACAATTGACTATAAAATTGTGACATTTGACTTTGACAGTCATGATTGTGAAATTTGACAAAAGTCATCCTGAATAATTAGTAGTGCGAACACTGTTTTTACGTTGGCGACATTGATTGTCACATTCAAACGTCACAATTTTATAGTCAATTGTCATTCGTTTCTGACGGGCAATCGCTGGCCTAGCCGTCACGTGGAGCAAGTTGATATCGCCAATAATCTTAATCTTCAGGTGTGTAAAATAACGAGATTTCTAGATTTGAAATCGCAAAACTTTCATCCGATAACTCCAAAGCTTATTTCTCGACCAAACCAATAAAATAAATGACTCTAGACATAAAACGACGACGTAAAATTTCCATTTTACATGAACTAAGGTGGCTCAAATGCAATTTTTAAACGGTTATTGCTTATCCAATAACTTATTTCATACACATTTAGAGAATTTAAACGTTTATTGAAATTGTTATTCCACTGTAAGATCAATAAGGAACAGTTTCAACGATTTTAAAACCACAACCGATTTTATTTCGAGCTATTGTTACAAAATAAAACGATTTTTATTGCTCAACGAGTATATAGACTTGTTTTTGTTTAGATCGTAGTGGCCGGTGACTTTAAAATTAAGTTGGCAACATTGAATGGTGTAGTAGTTGGCCACGAAGTCTTAATTTGGCAACATTGACTGTCAAATTCAAACGTCACAGTTTTATAGTCAATTGTCATTCATTTGCGATGTGAAGCAACCTGATATCACCACCAATTCAATGTTGCCAACTTAATTTCAAATCACAGTTCACTTTGATCAGAAATTAATCACACACATTAATTTATTTCGATTAAAATAAAAAATTGGATTTTTAAAAATGCTAATCAGAGTGGCCTGTCTTTAAAATTAAGTTGGCAACATTGGATAATGTAGAGATAGTTATTGTGATTGTCGTCAAGTGGGCCACGAAATCTTAATTTGGCAACATTCAAACGTCACAATTTTATAGTCAATTGTCACTTGCGACGTAAAGCAACCTGATATCAACAATAATTCAATGTTGCCAATGTTGTGAAAAACTACGTGTTTCAAAATGATTTTCATCTAGTCGCCTATGGAATTTCCATGTAAAATAAATAAAATGCCGCTTTAAAAAAAATATTTGTTAATTTATTTCGATTTTGTTACATGAAAATCATTTTCTTAAAATTGAAAACTGTTTCTGTCTTCATTAGTTTAATTAAAATAAACAAAAATGGATTTTTGAAAATGCGATCAGAGTGGCCTGTCTTTTTGAAATTAAGTTGGCAACGTTGGATAACGTAGAAATGGAGTTATTGTGATTGTCGTCAAGTGGGCCACGAAATCTTAATTTGGCAACATTGAATGTCAAATTCAAACTTCAAACGTCACAATTTTATAGTCAATTGTCATTCATTTGCGACGTAAAGCAATCTAATATTACCAATAATTCAATGTTGCCAACTTAATTTCATGTCACAGTTCACTTTGACCAGGAATTTAGTTGAAAATATTTGCATAAAATATTGCCATTTTGTGAAAAACTACGTGTTTCAAGATGATTTTCATCTAGTCACCTATGGAATTTCCATGTAAAATGAAAAATGCCACTTTAAAAAAATATTTAATTCTTAAATCTGGTTTAGGAAGAGTAGAGCGGCACAGAAAAATTTACATGTAAAGAAATTCCATAGGAGACTAGATGAAACTAACTAAAAAAAATTGGATTTTTGAAAATGCGATCAGAAATTGGCAACATTGGATAACGTAGAGAAGGAGTTATTATGATTGTCAATTGTGCCACGAAATCTTAATTTGGRAACATTGATTGTCAAATTCAAAGTCACAATTTTATAGTCAATTGTCATTTATTTGCGACGGGCAACTGCTGGCCTAGCCGTAACGTGAAGCGATTTGATATCACCAATAACTCAATGTTGCCAACATAAGACACACTTCGATCAAAAAAATTTGCATAAAAAGTAAAAAAACATGTGAAATGGTATAAAATTCGTGCAACAGGGTGTCTGAACTCGGTTGCAAAATCAGTGACAGTTTAATACACAACCTCTCGCATTAAAATCAATAGTAGCGCGTTATCTGACTCCGGATTTCTTAGTCCTGACAGGAGAAAGCCATTTCGGGTCAATACTGAGCTTATCAGCGCAACTAAACTACCATTAGAGGAGAGGAATCAGTGTGTTTTTACTATTTTTAATTCCCTTTTTTGTATGGAAATTTGTAATAATTTCGTAATTCATTTTGTTGGCAGTGCGTGTTGTACCTGTGGGCCCTGAAGCTGTGCTACCCTACGACCTTATTCCTCCTTCGTGGTAACCATGAGTGTCGCCACCTTACAGAATATTTCACTTTTAAACAAGAATGTAAGTAACTTTTTTTCTCTCTACTTATATGTTGTTATTATTATTATATACTTTTTTTCTACTTGAAATAAATTGATTGTGTAATTATCGAAATTGTGATGCTATCATCTAGGAAAATCGCTAATGTGGCGTAGCTGAGGGCCCCCAGTGACTGGAAACTATTCTCCTGTGATGTCCTTTTCCCCCCTAGACGAGTCACACATGTGCGCCGATTTGTATAATTACCATAGAAACGCACTGAATTATGTGGGTAACTATGGTAACACAACCAAAAAATTCAAAATGTCCAGTGGCGGAGGGAAGATTTTTTCAATGTTGCCAAATTACGATTTCTTGGCCTACTTGGACGAAGGAAAGGGCGTCATAATGCGCCATTATAGCACCAAAATTTATTGAATATCAAAGGGAGAATCGCGTATCGGTGCTCAACATCCGTTGAATGTCTTTCACACGGATTCTATATGCGTCCCATTGTATATCGATATTTTATTTAGATTGATGTTGCCTTTCTCAGCTAACGTTGATTTATTGGATTTGCAGTTTTTGTTTGTCCAATTCAAATTTTTATCAAAGAAAGAATAACACTCAAAAGCTACATTAAATATTGTTACTACTTTACTACTTGTACTTACTACTTTGTATTATTTCATTGTTTGTTTTTAGTGCAAGCTTTCCGTCCACTTTTTCATAATAAAATAAGTTGGCCGCACTGAATAATGCATTGTGACGTTTGAATTTGATAGTCAATGTTGCCAAATTAAGTTTTCAGATTTATAGCCTACTTAACATTTATGTTATTCAGTGTTGCCAACTTATTTCAAAGAGCATTTTGATCATTTTTATTGCACCATAATGGGCAAGATGGCCGTTTTAGTGTGTCATAGATTTGGCTTCTTATTTTCTCCTCGTAATAATAGTTCCCAAGTCACTGGATAATTGTGTCACTTCTGTATTACCACGCAACAGTATCGATTATATATTTTTATTTCGTTTCTTTTCCGTTAGAAAAATTAAATTATTTGTACTCGRTTCCGCCACGTTTTCTTTATTTATACGCTATATACATTTTTATAAGGTTTGCTTCCTTTAATCGAATTCGTCTCAGATTCCATAAGAGTCGCGGCATGTGTTTCAGGTGTGTGCAGCATTCATAAATATCAAGAGAAATAGTTTGATTTCAAATGGAAATGTTTATGTAATGTAAAATATTCAATCTATTGGCAACACTGAATTATTGGTAATCRTTCTAGTCTGTGACGGCTGTGCCTATAAAATTGTAACATTASAATTTGACATTCATGGTTGRCAATTTGACAAATACTGGTGGTGACAWTGATTGTCATATTGATACGTCACAATTTTATAGTCAGTTGTCAATGGTTTCCGACGGGCAATCGCTGGCCTAGCCGTCACGTGGAGCAAGTTGATATCGCCAATAATTRAATGTTGCCAACTCAGAAATCTTATTTTTTCAATTGTTTATTTAAGATAAAATATTCAAAACGTGTATACAGATTTGTCYACAAGAAATTACCACCTAGGATTTGAATTTTTAGGAAAATTACGTTTTTCATGTTGTTTGTAACTAGAATGTTCAGGAGTAATTTTGAATGTCCTTGTTGTTGACAGTTGACGTTTTCTATCAACCTGCTGTCAAATATCAATTGAGTTATCTACACAAGCTGACAGGTGACTTAACCTAAATTTTTGACACTAGTTACAATATCTTTTGTTTGTCACTACAAAGCAACCTATTTATGAATATCCCTAAATCCTAGGGAGTAATTTCTTGTTGATACGATATGATACGTGTATGTATGACAATTGAGTTTAAAATTGTGACATTTGAATTTGAAACACAGTCGTGTTTGCCAAATTTGTGCAAACACTGTTTTTTTATGACGTTGGCGACATTGATTGTCACATTAAAACGTCACAATTCTATAGTCAGTTGTCGTTCGTTTCCGAGGGGCAATCGCTGGCCTAGCCGTCACGTGGAGCAAGTTGATATCGCCAATAATTCAATGTTGCCAATTTAATTTTTTTATTCTTGTTTCAGGTAAGATAAAATATTCAGAACGTGTATATGATGCGTGTATGGAGGCTTTCGACTGCCTGCCTCTCGCGGCGCTGATGAACCAACAGTTTCTCTGCGTCCACGGCGGATTATCTCCAGAAATACATAATTTAGATGACATTCGAAAGGTAAGTTGAAAAAAATTGGAAAAATTGGTTTGGTTTGATGCACAAATCCAACAAGTTGGAATTGCGTGTCATGTCAATTATGGAACTTATTAAATATTCATTTCGTTGGTACAGTTGGGATACCGAATTACAAAAAAGCAACTTTGATTTGTGAAACTCTTGTATATTCATATTTAAAGCAGTGTTTTTGTTTTATAATTGGTGAAACTAGAACGCGTCTAAATTAGAATTAATGCTGTTGTAAAGTTGCATAAAATGCGACTTTTTTGTGATGAGTTTATCGACTTTTCGTGCGCATTCTCTATGTATTTAAGTTGAAAGTAACAAATGTGAACCTATTAGCGTAATCATGTTTTATGAGAATCCCTTCTCATCCATTAGAAAATCCATGAAGCGAACAAGGAAATGTTCGATAATTCACTTCGCCAAAGAACAGCCACTTTCGGGGGCTAATTCTCCCGGCGCATCCACCAAATTTCAAATAGGAAAACAGAATTTAAATTGCTGGAGAAAACGTTAGGGCATTTGCTTATTTCATGTTTGCAACACTGCAATTTGACGTAACAAAATTGTGGGTTATGTTAAATAAAAGTGTTGGTTAATTCAGTTGTGCCAATTCAAACAATAATAAAATGAAATGAAAATACAAGAAATTTTACTCTATTATCCTCAAGTTGGCCTCAAACTAAAATTTAGTTTGGCAATCTTGACTCTCAAATTTAAATGTCAAACTTTTATAGGCAATTGATATTCATTTGCGCTGGCTTAGTCGCCACTTGAAACATTCTGATATAACAAATTAGAAAAATTACCAATTCAGTGTTGTCAATAGATTTTTATACTTTTTTCGACAAAAATGCAATTTTTGCAAGGTTACAACTCAATTATTTCGTTAAAAATAAGCCAAAAAATGACCAAACTAGTCCAAAAATGGTGTTCTTGTAACATTTTCCGAACGTTTTATTAAGTTTTTGGCCAAAAACTCAGTTTTTTGCAATATTTCTTTAAACCGGAGTAAAAAATCAAAAATTACACAATTTTTGCCTTTTTACAATATTTTTGTATGTTTTACGGCCAAAAAACGCACCTTTTGCAAAGTTTTCTCAAAAATAAATCGAAAAATCACCAAATTTAGTCGAAAATGGTGGTATTGTTCTCCTTTTCGAGCTTTAAATACGTTTTAGAGCTAAAAACTTAGCTTTTTCGCGATATTTTTCTAAATCGCACCTAAAAAACACTAAATTAGGTCAAAACCCACACTATTTTTAGAGTGTTTTTTTTTAGTCAGAAACGCAATTATTTCGGGAAATTTCCTTGAAAAATCATCAAAATTTAGTTGATTTTTAAATCTTTATAGAAAATTGATAGTATTTTTAAATTGTTAAAATATACACTATCTTAGTTTTCTGCTCAAAGTGGCTTTCAAATTAAGTTGGCAACATTGAATAATAATGCAAAGAAATATGAATATGAGATTTGTTAATTTTCATACACTGTAACGCCAAATAACAAATAAATCTATTGGCAACACTGTATTATCAGTGACATTAGATTGTTTCAAGTGACATTTAAATTTGATACGCAATGTTGCCAAATTAAGATCTGTATTCTACCAAACATTATTCAATGTTGCCAACTTAATTTTAAAATTTGATCAGAAATTCCATTAAATGACAGATTTTTATTCTCAAATTTCTCAACCTTGTCACTCAAACGTAAAACTGTGATTTTTGTTGGCACGTTGGCAACAAACTTGAAATCTTATTTAGTAACCACGTCACAATTTTTAGACAACTGTCATGCATTTTTGACGGCTGGTACCCAATAATTCAGTGTTGCCAATAGTTTTTTTTAAAAAGGCGAGTAACCAAAAATTATCTTAAACGGTAATTGTTTCAGCGGTAAAAATAAATAAATTCCAGAGTTCTCCATTATTTTTCACGTGCGAAAAATATGTTTACTTATTTTTGATTAAAATTCTCGCGTTTTGTTGCAAAAATTCTAAAACACACCCAAATTCCAGTTTTCCAGTTCTGGTCATTCTGGTGTTAATATGAGATTTTTATCATGTTATAGTCCAAGGGTAATGAGAACATACATAATACATTAAACCACACGTTCTCAGATTATTAGAAACTTAACTAGGTTGCGCTTGTACCTGAACCGTGAAATTTATATTAACGAACTTTACGATAAATTGGATATAAACACCACAAACATAAAACAATGTCCCCTAATCAAGACCGGAGAGTGAATGTCTCACACAGGAATTTTTCGTCGTCTCGTTTATATTCAATCACTGACATTATTTTCAGCCCCACTGGCCAATTATCTGAAAATGTGTCACTCACAAACACTCTACCTTCGAAAAAGAAAAATATTCTTTTCTTATACTACAGGGTGTCACACACCTGTTCGTGGTATAGAAACTAACTGTCAAAAAATTTTGACATTTATCTACTTAATGACATCAATGATCTTGTATACAGGGTGTCCCAGCGAGTTGAAAAAGTCCATTAGTGACCTTTCAAGGGTAAAATTTTAAAAAATTGTATAGGACTTTGATAGATACTAATCTAGTGCATCACGTTAAATTATTTTCAACTATACAGCATGTCCCAAAAATAAGTTACGATACAGACTTGTGTTTTTTTAAATGAAACACCATATGTTTCTTATCGTTTTTGGATGTAGCCTTTAAAAACAATGTTTTTATGCTAAACTGTTATTAGTCGATTTTGCTTAGTTTTAGAAATAAGAATTTTTTTTGACGAAAACATGCACTTTTTAAAAATTTATTACACAAAAACTAAGTCACTAGAACAATTTTTTTTTACTTCTGCAAAGAAGAAAGTACAGAACTTAAATCTGTACTAATTTTTGAGTGTTTTGCATTTGTAAAGATTAATAAATTAAGAAGTTTGTTAAAAGTTAAATAACTTAAAAAATTTAAATCTAACACCCTATTTTTCATTTTTGCATCTAATAGATTGATAAATTGTCTATCTAAAAAAAATAAACTTTTAATGTCTAGAATTGATAAATGAATTGTAGCAACAATGATTATCAATATCTGAGCATTGTTGATGATACTATGGCAATTATAGTAATTCCACCACGGATCACTTATCCATTGATTTATTCAGAGATTGTAAAAGTCGTTATAAATACTGAAATTCGAATTATTTTATTGTAAAAATAAAGAATAATGGATTCAGTTTAACACAAATGTGATTATTAAGTGATATTTCTTCCATCTCTTGTGCAACTGTGCACTTTTTGGCTACTGAAACAATAGTAATTATTTTTTTTAATGTTTAACGTTAAATATCTTTTTAGTTATTGATTATAAACACCTAAAAGTAAATAATTTTAGAAAGACAATTTAATAATCGTTTAAATGTATAAACAATAAATATGGTGTTCCATTMAAATTTTTTAAATTATTGAACTTTTAATAAACGCCTTCATTTTTTTATTTTTGCAAATGCAACGCACTAAAAAAATGTTACAACCTTATAGCTTATACCTTCTTCTTTACGGTAGTGAAAAAAAATATTTCTAGATGTGTAATAAATTTTTAAAAAATGCATGTTTTCGTCAAAAAAACCGTCTTATTTTTAAAACTAAGCAAAATGAACCAATGAAAGTTTAGCTTAAAACCATTGTCATAAAAATCTACATCCAAAAACGCTAACAAACATATGGTGTCTCATTTAAAAAAACACAAGTTTGTATTGTAACTTATTTTTGAGACACGCTGTATAGTTGAAAATAATTTTAGGCGATGGATTAGATTAGTATCTAGTCCTTTACAGAGTGCGCCGGAACTCGCGCCCCAGAGAAAATGCCATATAAGGTAAGATACCAGGAACATGGAAAAAATGTTAAAAAAATTATAAAAAAAAATCTATAAAAATTTCGAAGTTATGAGTGTTTAAAGTTTGCACTTTGACTCTATTTATTTCTCTTGGAAAAATATAATTATCATAATTTATTATTATTTAATTATTATGATTATTATTTTATCATTTAATATATAATAATTTTCCAAGTTCTTTTGCTAAAGGCTATTAAAAGAGGAAACAAGGAAGCTGTATCCTAAATTGTAAATCTGTTCAATGTTATTTCTGGCTTTTATTGGCAAAATTTTTGTACTTTTATTAAATAATTGTAAAAAAAACATATACAGGATCATCAGTATCATTAAATAGACATAAAAAATGTCAAATGTGAAAAAATAAATGTCAAAATTTTTTGACAGATATAATTTTTTTAAACATTTTTTCCATGTTCCTGGTATCTTATTTTACTTAAAATTTTTCTCTGGGGCGCGAGTTCTGGCGCACCCTATAATATTTTTTCAATTATACCATTTAAAGGTCACTAATGGACTTTTTCAATTCGTTAGGACACCCTGTTTGTTTTTTTTTTATAATTATTTAGTAAAGGTACAAAAATTTAGCCAATAAAAGCCACAATTTAGGATACAGCTTCTTTGTTTTCTTTTCTAACAACCTTTAGCAAAAAAAACTTGGAAAATTATTTTTCCAACAGTACAAAATTTAAACTCTTGTAACTTCAAATTGGTATTTTTCTCTGGCGCACCCTGTATTATGATGTTTAATTAGCGATTTTGATAAAACTTGAGTGTGGGGTTGTTCCAACATTAATATTTAACATGAGTCTCGAAGGACTCTGTTTAGGAGGAGAAGGAACTCTGTCGCTCTTGATGGAGTTGAATTATTCATATGGACTACATTCTACACCCTCCTGACGTAAATTTTAAATATTCCAACAAGACTACTAGAAATTATTTATTTCGTTTTGATATTTTGCTAGATGGATGTTTTAGCACCAAATACGAGGAAATAATTTCATTAAAAGCACTTTAACATAATACAGGGTAATTCTAAAAGTTGTACAGTTGTACAAAATATGTATTGTTTTAACTTYTTATCACACYACTTTACACAATTTCTTCCYTGAAATTAAAATATGAAAACWATTACAGTTAATAATYATAAGTTGAAAAACAGGTTTTCGGAYTAYATAATAATTATTCTGCGTCKTGGTTTGTTGCTTTTTCGTAAGATTGAATTGTTTTTGTTGTATTTTTGCTTTTCTTACACAAAATATGTACTTAATAGTTAGTTTGTGACAGTCACTGTGGTAAATTTAGTAAAGTCAATTATACAAGGTGTTAAAAAAAGATTGTAAAATATTTAAGGTAGTAACAGTATAGACCAAAACAACAAGWTTCTTTTCAAAATATATTACACAAAAACTAAGATTCCTCGAAAAATTACATTTTCACAACCTTAAAGTACTTCAGACAGATAAAGGTAAAAAAATGAAGAAAAATGTCTATTTAGAMTTATATAAATGTGATTATTGGGTGATTGCTTGTGCACCTAAAGTTTGTGTAAAGGTTTAGTCTACAATCATTTTGTGAAATTAAATTAAAAACAATTTTTGTGGATTTAGTAAAAAGACTAGCCATAATATTATCATTATATCACGTTTCTATTTTTTGAATAAACAGCTCCCTCATCGTATTATTTTTCAATTTGTTTTGTGTTGTTACAATTTACAAATAGAAAAAGTTTATTTAAAAAACAAACCCTCACCAATCAGCCACTGAAACTTTCCTCGTGAATTACGAAAGTTTGGTTTGCTTTCCACATCACACAGCCCTAATTACGGTCAGGTTAAAGGACTGTACTTTGATCAAAGGTTAATTGACAAGCTGATAGCCGGTAATTAGCGAACTGTCTTTCAAACACCTCCACAAAAAGATCATCTCAAAATTTAATATCGATATGTAATTAAATCGGCCATATGGACCCTCAGCAATAAAACCAGAATTATCGCAACACCTAATCTCCTTAATCCGTTATTTTCATTAAAATTCGGGATATTTGCCTAATGGCCGATCCATATTATTTATTATAACAATAAAATAATCGAAGAGAAAGTTGCAACAAATCTGTTCCTCCCTTATTTGGCATCACAGCTAAAAATTGACCCCAAAAATGACAAACCTAACCTCATTTCCATTTCATTGATTGTGTAAACCGCGCTTTAAACGTGAAAGAGGCTTTACATATTAAATTTGTCACTAAAAAACTGAGGTTATGATAGTTAAAATTCTAGAGTTTTTTTCCACAAAAAGTTTAACACCCTGTTTTGAAGGTGTAGTTTTAACACCAAAAACATAAACTTTTGTTTAACCTATAAAACAGGAACAACAACAAAAAAATTGATATGTTTTCGAACATAGTCTAAATCTGAAGTCTTAAAGAGAACTATTTTTAATTATAATTTGAAAAAAACTGGGGATAACGAACAAACACCGAAAACAGTGTTGCCAATAGATTTTTAGACAATTTTGCAATGTTACAACATAATTTTCGCCTTTTTCTAGTGTTTTTGTTCATTTGTCATTCAAACACGCTAAAAATAAGCCCAAAAATCACTCAACTAGACCAAAAATGGTGTTCTTGTAGCGTTTTCCGAACGTTTAATTCAGATTTCTGGCTAAAAACTCAGTTGTTTTGCAATATTTGTTTAAACCGGAGTGAAACATCACCAATTGTCCCCGAAAATGAACCATTTTTGCCTTTTAGCAATATTTTTGTATGTTTTTCGGTTTAAAAACGCACTTTTTGTAAAGTTTTCTAAAAAATAAACTTGAGAATCACCAAATTTAGTCAAAAATGGTGTTATTGTTCTCATTTTCGAGCATTTAAATACGTTTTAGAGCTAAAAACTTAGCTTTTTCGCGATAGTTTTCTAAATCGGACCGAAAAAAACACTAAATTAGGTGAAAACCGACACTATTTTTAGAGCGTTTTTTTTTAGTCTTCTGACCACGCAATTATTTCGAGAAATTTCCTTGAAAAATGACCAAAATTTAGATAATTTTTAAATTATATAAACTTATTTTTTGCGAGTGTTTTTGTTTGTTTATCATTCAGAAATGCAATTTTTCGTTAAAAATAAGCTGAATAATGACCAAACCAGACCAAAAATGGTGTTCTTGTAGCGTTTTCCGAACATTTAATTAAGATTTTAGCTCAAAAAAATCAGTTGTTTTGCAATATTTCTTTGAACCGGAGTGAAACATCACCAATTATCCCCGAAAATGAACCATTTTGCCTTTTAGCAATATTTTTGTATGTTTTTCGGTTTAAAAACGCACTTTTTGTAAAGTTTTCTAAAAAATAAACCTGAGAATCACCAAATTTAGTCGAAAATCTTGTTATTGTTTGTCTTTTCGAGCATTTAAATACGTTTTAGAGCTAAAAACTTCGCTTTTTCGCGATATTTTTCTAAATCGGACCGAAAAAACAGTAAATTAGGTCAAAACCGACATTATTTTTAGAGCCTTTTTTTAGTTAGAAACTCAATTATTTCGGGAAATTTCCTTGAAAAATCACCTAAATTTAGATAATTTTTAAATTTTTATAGAAAAATTGCTAGTGCTTTATTTCGTATTTTTAAATTGTTAAAATATACAGTATCTTAGTTTTCTGCTCAAAGTGGCTTTGAAATTAAGTTGGCAACATTGAATAATAATGCAAAAAAAATGAATACGAGATTTGTTATTTTTTATACACCGTGACGCTAAATAACAAATAAGTCTATTGGCAACACTGTATTATCAATGGCATTAGATTGATTCAAATGACGGTTATGCCGCAAATAAATGACATTTCACTACAAAATTGTGACATTTAAATTTGATAGACAATGTTGCCAACTTAAAACAGTGAAAAAACGAATACATATGTCATACATGTCAGTTCAACAAACTGTGTAGGTACGTAACCAAAGAAAACCAAAAACCCCATCTGCTATTATACGCAGGGCTACAAACTTAAATATGAAATCTATTATAATACACTATTTTCTGCTTAATTAAGCTCGTGTTGTCTTTGCAGTTAGACAGATTTAAGGAACCGCCCGCTTTCGGCCCCATGTGTGACCTCTTGTGGTCCGATCCTTTAGAAGACTTCGGTAACGAAAACAACGCAGAACACTTCTCTCATAATTCCGTGAGGGGTTGCTCATATTTCTACAGGTTGGTACTCCTGTCATATGTCAAATCATTTTATTAATCAATTGTTTCAGCTACGCTGCCTGCTGCGACTTCCTACAAAATAATAATCTTCTATCAATAATTAGAGCACACGAGGCACAAGATGCGGGGTGAGTTGGGGTTTTTTCACTTTTAACAGTTTACTATCCTGCGAATTGTTAATTGTCCACTTGATTTAAAATAATTTGAAGAAATTTTCATTAATTAAAGCGGAATATAATGAAAAGTCGATACGGTATCAAAATCATGTATATACACAATGTGCTATTAATAATAAAGATGACAGCAATAATATTTCATCGAGTTTATGACAGGATCATTCAATTTCGGTGTTATTAATCGATTTGGGGCTTAAAAAGTTTTTTGTCTCCCACTGTAGTTGTGGAATTTTAAATGAAACAGTTCCTCGAATAAAAAATCCAAAAAGTGAGAAAAAAGTAGACAAGTGTTACATTTCCTCACAATTCAATCACAAAAGTTGCGAAGAACTTGTTGAAGACTTTAAAACAACTAATTACTCCCGAGTTTTGTTGACTTTTTGCCACCGATTTTTTTGCTTTTGTGTTCATTGTATAACTATATCTGAGATTAATTTTAATCTTGAATACCAAATCTCGACACTAAACATGCAACTTGATACTCACCCTTTTAAGCTCCCCTATATAATTAGCATATTATCGCACCAATTTTTAAACTCGCTTCTAGGCTTATACATATTTTATGAAACGTGATGTTTTATCGAAATTTTGCGCGCTTACAACCCGAAACTAAATAATAAAGTGTTGGGAATAAAATTTAGGGAATTTAACGTCCGTGATTGGTATGGTAGCAATTTTTCGGACTTTGGAACATTTGCTCTTTTGTACTAAAATGTCACAGCAGTAATCACTCAAAAAGCATTTTAAATAAAATTATGATAAAATTATAACGGTCAAGGTCACACTTTAAATTCAAGTAATTTCATTAACTTGTGTTAAATTCGTTGAAAATTGTCCAAATAAATAATATGGTAATAGGCAACCAGTTATACACGTGCCAAGTAAGACGTAAAGTTGTAAAAACCTAGTAATTTACACAAAAACAACATCAGTTTAATGTGTTATCAAATCAGTTGAAAATATTAATTAAAATTTAAAAAGTGTGTTTTTAAAAAAATTAAAAGGTATTGTTGATTTACCCTTGATTGTCTTCTCCATTGGCACTCGCACTACTTCATGTCTATTAGGCACTCGAAAAATCACAACATGCACTCACTGGTAACTGGAGTTTCTGAAACAAAAAAATTAATGATTTATTCTGAGAAAAAAATTAAATTCGTACAATATTTAGTCTTGTTCTTGCTGATGTTTCTCTAATAGCATGAACAAAAAGTGTTAAAATTTGCACTGGTCTACAAAACCTTATATAGCATTTTTTTCTAGTACCCATTGTAGCAAGTCGCCTCTGCTTCTTAAACGGACCTACTGAAAATAAAGAAACACAAAATCAGTACAATGTGTTTTTAAATTAGTTAAAAATATTAAATACAATTTAATAAGTATAATTTATTTAATAATTTAAAAGGTATTGTTGATTTACCCTTTAATCCGGATCCTTGTAGCACGATTCTCTTCTCCATTCCCCCCATTGGCATTCACTAATCACACGAAATTTTAAAAATCGCGAACTACTGAATGTCTATTAGCACTCGAAAATACACAACACGCACTAGCTGGTCATTGGAGTTTCTAAAAACGAAAAATTAACCACCTATTCTGAAAAAAAATAAATTCATACCTACAATGCGTAGTATGTTATTATTCCTGCTTATGTTTCTTGAATAGACAAAAAAGTTTTCATTAAAATTAATATTGGAGTAAATAGAATTTGAGTAATAATAGATTATACATTTTATCTAAAACATAATTTATTTCTATTTATAATTTAATAAATACTTACTGTTGCACTTAAAAATCACAAATTCACACATTTCACTTTGCAATAAACAAAAAAATAAAATGCACTAACCTTTATGGCATCTTCTTCTGCTACCCATTGTAGCAATTCGCCTCCGCTTCTTACACGGACCTACTGAAAATAAAGAAACACCAAATTAGTTCAGTGTGTCATTAAATTAGTTGAAAATATTAAATAAAAACCAAAAAGTCGAAGATTTTAAAAAAATTGAACGTTATTGTTGACTTACCCTTTAATCCGGACCCTTGTGGCACGATTCTTTTCTCCATTCCCCCCATTGGCACTCACTAATCACTCGAAATATTAAAAATCACGCACTACTAAATGTCTATTAGGCACTCGAAAATACTCAACACACACCCCACATTTCTACACAATTTTGCACTAAACCACCAAATAAGTAATAATTTTATTGTGACAATTTACAATTCAAGTAACTTGTACGGGAGCTTGGTTAAGACTGACTTATTGTTGTAATAATTCCCTCAAAAACGACAGGAAAACCCATTTCGTAACAATTTCGTTACCATTTTTTTGTGTACGATTAAACAACCTGATATGACGTCAAGATGCTAGCATCTAATTGGCTACGAGGTAGCGTCTTGATACGTCCAAACTTTCACCGAAATTTACACAAAAACCTTTCTTTCTGGGGGATTTAACGTCAATTGATTGGTATGCTAGGAATTTCTCTCCTGGACAGTAAAATATGTTGGTAACGCGACAACTTTTCGGACTTTGGAACATTCGATGTTTTGTACTAAAATGTCAACTTTATTCATTAATCTAATAATAATTCAACTAGGGGAAGTACAGAGAGAGGAATAAAACAGTAGAATATTAAAATCGTTGCAAATTGTCCAAATATTAGTTACTAAAAGGTGGAAATTTTGAAAATTTGATGGCAAAACTACAAAGGCATGAAATGAATGTGTTTACGAGGGCGTTTGCCATTAAATCCCCGTTTTATTGTTAATAGTTGTCGTTATTAAAGCCGTAAAAATCGGCTCGGTTTTACGTCTTAATATTATTTAAATTGTGCCAAGCTTTTCATAAAAATGATTATTGCTTCCGGAAAATGATTGAAACACAATTTATAGATTAGAAGACTAATTGGATGATGTGGCTTCTTCTCCTCGACCTCAAAACTAACAAATTTACTTGGTTTCAGATATCGAATGTATAGGAAAAGTCAAACAACAGGCTTCCCTTCCCTTATCACAATTTTCTCAGCACCCAATTACCTGGACGTCTACAATAATAAGGTAAACGAATTATTTTTCTTCAATTAGTTGTGACAGCCAGTGTTGCCATGCTAATCTGGTGAATTTTATTTTCTTGAGCTGGTAACAAATGCATTTTTGCGATTCAATTAGTAAATGGACTCTTCTTCAATTTGTGAAAATCGGTCCAATTATTTCCCCAAATGAGCTCCTAATTGGATCGGTAGTGCAGAAAATGCGCCCAAGTCCGGTCGTAAATTACAAATTAATTAGAAACACAAACCAGATAGACAGTGGTAGCCAACATTAAAAAATAAAAGCTTTCTCAACAAGAGATTTAGGGATATTTGTTACTACATTGTCAAAAATTTTGACAGTTTGACAACAATGACAGAATACGTCAACTGTCAACAACATGAAAAGCTTAATTTCCCTAATTCGCTTTGATTTGTTTTCGCAGGCAGCCGTACTAAAGTATGAAAATAACGTAATGAACATTCGCCAATTTAATTGTTCGGCGCACCCTTATTGGTTACCAAACTTTATGGATGTGTTCACGTGGTCGCTTCCTTTCGTCGGCGAAAAAGTGACGGAAATGCTCGTCAACGTGCTCAACATCTGTTCGGACGACGAACTCGTCTCAGACGGTGATGATGCGCTTGAAGAAGGTAGGCTTTATCATGATTCCACCCACCATTTTAACACCTGGGACTTTCAAATTAAGTTGGCAATGGTGACGTTTAAGTTTGACATTGACAGTCAAGCTGACCAACTTAATTTCAAAGTGGGCCAAATTTCGGTTTTTTGGGGCATAAACTATTAAAGTTTTTCGAGCGGAGACAACAAAGGAATGCTTGGCCTCAACTCTAATGTCGAAACGAATTTTGAGTTTTATGTGAAACTCTAAAATCAGTAATTTTGGTCAATTTAGATGAATGTCACTAGCTAGTGATTTTCAGACCGTTATGTTCCTGTCATTTGACATTTTTTAATTTGAATGTTGAATACTTTATTTAGTTCAAAAAATATTTTAATAAGTTTCCACTTAAAGCGATTTAACACACAGACTTGACAGATTTGTTACCAAATCAGTCCTTTAGTAACTTTTTCGACCTTGAGCGGGAAAATACAACATTATAGATTATTACTAAAAAAATAGGTTATGAACAGTTTCAAACTGCACTTTTTTTTAATGAAAAACTTTAAATATTCTTAAATGCATTTTTAATCTTGTTTATAATGTGATTGTGTTTTTTTTTACCTCAAGTTGGTATCAAATCTAAAATGTTAGTTTGATAACTTTAACTTTCCAATTCAAACGTCAAACTCTTATAGGCAATTGTCATACATTTGCGACCGGCGTCTGCAGATTTAGCAAATTCGAAGGATTAGCAATAATTCAGTGTTGCCAATAGATTTTTTGTCACAAAGATTAATAGTCACCCGTTTTATTATTATAAGACCACCCATGTATAAAAAACAAACACAACAAAAGTGTAATATACGATTTTTTCTACTTTGCCTTCATTTTTTCAATAAAAAATGATAAAATTGTAAAATCTTGCTATTTAGGGAATTTTGTAGTCATAGTACGCCAGTTGGTATCTACCACTGACAATTTAAATGTCAAAAATTTAAAAGTCCATGTTGACTTGTCGCTGTTGAAATGCAAAACGACTGCAAAAATACAACAAAAACAAATGTAATATATGATTTTTCTACTTTGCCTTCATTTTTTCAATAAAAAATGATATATTTGAAAAATTTTGCTATTTAGGGAATTTTGTATTCATAACATGCCAGTTGGTACTGACAATTGAAATGTCAAAAAATGTACGTAAAATAGAAAGTTATCGTCAATTAATTTATTATAATTTCTTGAATTTTATTGTCGCTTATAAAAAGACTGCAAAAAACACAACAAAAATACGTAATATTCTCTTCATTTTTTCAATAAAAAAGTAGAACTGAAAAATCTTGCTATTTAGGGAATTTTGTGCCAGTTAGTACCTACCACTGACAATTCAAATGTCAAAAAATTAAAATAGTAAGTTAGTCAATTAATTTATTATAATTTGTTGAATTGTCGCTATTGAAATGCAAAACGACTGCAAAGAAACAGTGTTTTTTGTTCAGGTAGTAGAAAAAAAAAATAAAAAATGTGTGTTGAAAGTTTCCATTATAGTACCGGGTGACTGAAAATGATTGTGATTTTTTACCTCAATTTGGTGTCAAATCTAAAATTTTAGTTTGGCAACCTTGATTTTCAAATTCAAACGTCAAATTTTTATAGGCAATTGTCAGTCATTTGCGAAGGACAAATGCTGATTTAGCCGTCACCCTGAAACATCCTGAAGGATTAGAAAGATAAATAATAATTCAGTGTTTCCAATAGATTTTTTGTCACAAACATTAATAGTCTCCCGGTATATTATTACACAAGTTTTACAACAAAAACAGTAGAATATACGATTTTTCCTACTCTGACTTCACTTTTTCAATAAAAAATGATAGTCTTGCAATTTAGGGAATTTTGTATTCATAGCATGTCAGTTGGTACCTACCACTTGTCAAAAAATTTAATTTAAAGTCAATTAATTTATTATAATTTGTTGAAATGCAAAACCAGTGATTTTTGTTCAAGTGACAGAGAAAAGTTTTCATTATTTTCTTATTTTGACAAAAACAACGCCATTGAGGTCTCAAGCCGTCCTTTGTGTTGTAATAGATGTTTCACTGAAAAGTTAGTGATAAAACCAACACGCTTATTATTTTTCTTCAACCAAAAATAATGCAAAAAAATCCCTTTTGTTATTTTTCAATGCTACTTGGAATTACAGATGGTAAGGTTCAGTTTTTATTCCCAACAATTGCTTTTTAAACTTGTAGTACGTAATTAAAATTAGTCTGCCTGAATAGTTACGTGTTTTTTAGTTTTTTAGCTAAATTTTGATTACTTTGACGGTCGGCTAATTTTTTTATGATTCATTGGTGTAGTAACAACCCCACCAATGAGTTATTTATTGCCAATAAAGCAGCGAGTTTGATCAATTTGCAATGAAAAAGTTGTTCAAACGAAAAATATTGCCAAATATGTTGATGTTTTTGTTGTTTATGGCCCCAAGTAGCATCTTGTCCCATGAAAATTTCTAAAAGCACTGCATAATTCTCCGGCACTCTAAAATTTTTATTACTGATTCAAAAAAATTAAATTTTCACACTTAATTAAAGTGAATCCATGCACTCGTATTGCTTATATTTTTTCTTCTATTCTGACACTTCTATTTTTCACTATTTGTCTATATTCGCCTTGGAATCGCGCCCACACAGCGAAACAGGCAAAAATTGTTATTAAAAAACCTGGTAAGTTATCACAGAACAAGCAGCTTGAACAGAGGAGTTAAAATAACACTGCATTAACGATCATTTTGAACAAAATTCAACGCGACGGTTGTTATTCTTTGTGGAACAATTCTTATTGACGTGGACGGGGGGACTTGATGCCGGATTTTAGGAGGTTGTGCATTGGTTTTTTTGGTTTTTGAGCTGTGTGAATAGGCATTGTTCCCAAAAATTCACTTTTCTTATTTTCGATTTTTACACTAACCACCCTGACCACGTTTCTCATACTGTTCTTATTTCGTTTGACGAGTTTCTTCATCCCATTGCTAGACTAGTTTATTTGTTACAAGGTGACCCAAAAATAAACCGTCATGCGTTAAAATGTCATTCTGAGAAAAAAAAAATTTTTTTTGTCAAAATGGTTGGCGTTTGGCGGTTTAATTACTTTTGGGACACCCCCTGTATAGGCTGTCCCGGCCAAACCCCACAGGAAGTTGTGAGTTCTGACAATTATATCTAAAAATTGTGGTGCAAATAAGCCTGTTAAATTTTATGGAGGAATTTTATTATCACCCTGTATATTCGTAACGAAGCCTTATAAGACTATGGTTTATTTGACAAATTAGTGTTATTTTTTTATGTAGAATATGTGGTTGCAATTTTGCGCAATATTAAGAAAACAGCCTGTATATTATTTTTATTTACACAGGGTGAAAAATGATTTTTTTATCTGTCCCACTCGGTTTTCTTAGCAACCAATGAGAGGCGGTCAGATTTAAACTGGAAAGTTAAAAAAAAAATGATTTTTACATTCTGATAGTTTTATAAAAGAAGTAAAATGTTTTGGAAGATTTAATTATAAATTTGGGGAAAAGCGACTTGAGAATAAGTTTTTGTTTTTGAGTTTTTTCCAAAATGATAACTTTTATGATTTTTTTTTGACAAAATGTAGACAATTGTAATTTTTACATCGCAGATTTTGTAAACAAAAGGTTTTATTACATCCGGTTATACCGGAAGTGAGTCTCAATTTTGTTAATTTAAATACAGGGTGTCAGAACTCGCGCCCCCGAGGAAAATTTCAAGTAAGGTGAAATACCAGAAACATGAAAAAAATTCTGTCAAAAAATTTTGACATTTGACATTTTTTATGTCTACAATTTAATAATCTTGTACGTATATATGTTTTTTTATAATTATTTAGTAAAGATACAAAAACCATTTTTCCAACCGAAATGAATAGTGCAAAATTTAAACTATTATAACTTCGAAATTTTGATAGATAGATTTTTTTTACATTTTTTCCATGTTCCTGGTATCTTACCTATCATAGCATTTTTCTCTAGGGCGCGAGTTCCGGCGCACCCTGTATTTAGACTTTTTTGAATTTTTTTGGATGTGCACCTTCCTCTTCAAAAATCGATAACTCTGTCATTTTTAATTATTTTGAAATCGCATTTGGGCTAATAAAAGAAGAAGGTTAGATCCCTCTTTTGGTGTATTCATAATTGAAAAAATAATTAACAAACCACAACAATTTAAGCTTAAGTTTAGGACATTTCAAATACACATAACTCAATTGGAGAGAATTTAATTCTGCATCGATCGAAGTTTTCAAGTTATTTTGACTTTTTTTGCATTTCGAGAAATTCTTTGCTATCATAGTTACTAAAACTTTAAAACTACCAAACATAGATATAGGAAATAATACAGATCAAACTATAATAAATTCTCCTCCATTTAGTAAAAAATAGAGCGTTTCATTTAGAAAAATTGAGTTATGAGTATTTCCCCAAACCTAACCTTAAATTTTGGGTTTTGTTAACAATTTTTTCAATTATGAATCCACTACAAGAAACATCGAACCCTTCTTTTGTAAATTCCCAAATAGGATTTCACAATAATTAAAAATGGCAAAATTATCGATTTTTAAAGAGGAAGGTGCAAATCCAAACTATTCAAAAACCTCAAAAACGACTTTACTCTCAAAATCACCTAAATAATCCAAAAATGCAATAATAAAACACAAAATAACAAAGTTGATACAAATTTTTAGATAAAATCATTGTGACAACTCCCAATACTTCAATGTGGGGTTTATTTGGAACAGCCTGTATTTCTTCAAGTTTCCGTGTGTAGATGTAGCAAGCATGTTGCATAATTTTGATCAATTTATATGTAACTTGTTATATATTTGGCATTATTAATACTTAAAAAAAAATAAGAAAAGAATTTTTCTCATTACGATTCTAGTGCAGTACTGTCGTATTTTTTAATCTCCTTTTTTACGATTTTTCTCGCTTTAGTGTTTTTGCTTTAAACTTTGAGTTTGAGCTTTTGACTAAAGATTTTTTTATCAAAAATCCATGACAATTCTTCACGTGGATCCAGAATTTGATAAATAAATATTTGCAAAATTCTCGTTTTATTTAACGTTTTTGACGCTATATTTTCTACATGCACCGTTTGTTTTGTTTTTTTCTATAATTCTACGCTACACTTTGCGCCACTGCCCATTTGCTGTGCTGTCGATTCCTTCAACTGTTGCGGTGCCGATCAACAACACATCTTTTGGTAAGTTTCAGTCGCTGTGAGTGTTTCAAAACAAAAAAAAAAAATTCTCTTTACCAAAACATTTCATTCGTAGACTAGTCTGTGGCACTAATTCGTGTCCAATTGAGTAATTCCATGCCAAAATTATCACTTTTAAAACGCATGGTTTCTGATTTTTGTATGTTATAGAACGTGTAAAAATAAGCGACACGTATTTCACCGTTTTTTATTTTTTCAATGTATGTTGTACAAAATTAAGTACCTCGTAGCAAAAAGAATTTTTATCTAACGAACAAATCAACATATGGAAACGACTTTTTTTAAATAATAGATATAAGTGGGTACACTACGAACGTGATAATACATGTATTATAAAAATTTGTTATTAACAAATAATTAATATATTGTTTAAACAAATAAACAATTTCGCAGGTTTTTAAAATTCTCAAAAAAATGATGTAAAAACTCATATTTTTACTATGTCTTTACATAAGTTTCAAGACGGATGTTTTAAATATCTGAAAAAAAATTTTTTTGAAAGCCCTGCATAGTACATAATCCCCTAATTAGATCACCTGAAAGTAGCTTTTCCTTGGAAATTACATAGAAAAATTACCAATGACCGTCACTAATATACTGTTCTAAAGAAAACACATAATTTCCAATAACTTTATTAACATTTATTTTTCAAAAAATCTCGATAATAAAAAACAAATTCTTCGTTTGAGGTAGAGTACTTTCTATATTTTATTTTCTGATATTGATATGTAGATTTTGCGTACCTTTTATGGGCTTCGCTCGACTAAAACGATCATTTCAAAAAAAAATGAATATTAATTAATTGTTTATAACGAGATAAACATAGTAACAATTTTTTTTAAATGGGAACCTACCACAATTTTTTTAGACAACGGGCTTGTTACAAGAATTGTTGCTGTGATTTTTTTTTTTTTGTAAACCTCACACTTTTTGTTATATTATTATTCTACGAGTTTGAGTGTAAATAGGACGTATTATTTCACTGAGTGTGAAATAAAGCGTCCGATTTACACTCAAACGAGTTGAATACAACATTTTATTCTTCGAATTAGACTCAACAAGGCTTAAACTTGCTTTAAATCTTTCAAAAAAAAATAATCTGATGTTTCGTATTGAGAAATGTCGAACAGTTGTCAAAACTTCCTTACACGGGAGAAAATCCGTAAATTTTAACAGTGTCGAAGAATAAAAGATTTTTTGTTTTAAATAATTGTTTAAACTTTTGAGATTACCATACTAATAATTTTTTTCTTAAATAACAAATGGTTTTTTATTTATTGTTTTACCAAGATATGGTTATGCATTTTATAATAATAGCAATAACTTTGTTAATATCAGTGACACTACAAGGTGTTTGGTATTCGTCAAAAGATACAAAGTACACATAAAAAAAAATAACATTTTACATGTAGTGACAAGTAATTACATAACAATATTTTTTAAATAACCAGAAATAACTATAAATGTACAAAAATATTTATTGAAAATATTACAATTTATGTTGAAAAAATAATAAACTCAAAAAAAGTTTTGACAACAGATGAAGTTTATAATTTTTTTAACATTTTTAATAAATATTTTTGTCCATTTATAAAATGCATAAACATATCTTTGTAAAACAATAAATAAAAAAGCNCGTTTTTATTTAACAAAAAAATTATTAGTATGGTAATTTCAAAAGTTTAAACAATTAATTAAAATAAAAAAATATTTTGCCATCGGTCCTTTACAACCTTTAAACATTTATTAATTTATTTCCAAAAAAAAAAAAAGTGTTAGGTTTACAATCAAAAATTTGTACAGCAACAATTCTTGTTGCATTTCAAAAAAAATTGGTCCTATGTTTATCTCATCTCGTAAGTATCAATATATATTTTTTATGAATAGCATTTTTATAGCCATTGCACGCCTATAAATTTATTTGCCAAAAAAATTGATAGTTTCACCGGATTAAAATCGTTCCAAACTTTTGGACCATCCTGTATAATCTAATCAATAAGTTGAAAGACATTGCAGGTTTTTAAATGATCGTTTTAGTCGAGCGAAAATAAAATAAAATATAGAGAGTACTCTTCCCCAACCGAAGAATTAGTTTTTTATTATTGAGATTTAAAAAGTAAATGTTAATAAGTTATTGAAAATTATGTGTTTTCTTTAGATCAGTTTATTTGTGACGGTAATTGGTTTTTACATATTTTTTTATGAGTTTTTACATAAATTTTTTATATTGTTTAAACAACATATTTTTAAATTATTTGTTAATAACAAATTTTTAGAATACATACAGGGTGCGCCAGAACTCGCGCCCCAGAGAAAAATGCCGTTTAAGGTAAGATTCCAGGTACATAGAAAAAATGTTAAAAAAAATTATCTATAAAAATTTCGGAGTTATGAGGGTTTAGAGTTTACACTTTGACTCTATTTATTTCTGTTGGAAAAATAATTTTCCAAGTTGTTTTGCTATATGCTATTAAAAAAGAAAACAAGGAAGCTGTATCCTAAATTGTAACTCTGTTCAATGTTATTTGTGGCTTTTAATGTCAAAATTTTTGTCCCTTTACTAAATAATTGTAGAAAAACATATACAAGATCATCAGTATCATTAAATAGATGTACAAAAATGTCAAATGTCAAAAAATAAATGTCAAAATTTTTTGACAGATATACAATTTTTTAAACATTTTTTTCATGTTCCTGGTATCTTACCTTACTTGAAAATTTTCTCTGGGACGCGAGTTCTGGCGCACCCTGTATGTTATCAGGTCTGTAGTGTACCTACTTATATCTATTATTATTAAAAAAAGTCGTTTCAATATGTTGATTTGTTCTTTTGATAAAAATTCTTTTTGCTACGAGGTACTAATTTTGTACATCCCTATTTTTTCAACATACATTGAAAAAATAAAAAACGGTGAAATACGTGTCACTTATTTTGACACATTCTATAACATATCTCAAATTTACGAAACTCAGAAACAATGAGTTTTAAAAGTGATCGTTTTGGCATGGAATAACTCAATTCGGTTATAACTCAACCGCTAAATTCGGTTCGGTTTTTAGGTACAGCAGCAAACCTGAGGAAAGAAGTGATACGTAACAAAATCCGGGCGATTGGTAAAATGGCTCGAGTATTCTCTGTTCTAAGGTAAAAAAGCCACTTTTCGTCCCTCCTCTTTTCTGATTTAATTCAATTCTAGGGAGGAAAGTGAATCAGTGTTGCAACTTAAGGGGCTCACGCCCACGGGTGCGCTACCTCTCGGCGCATTGTCAGGCGGAAAGACGAGTCTCAAAAATGGTATTGGTGATTGATTTTTGGGGGTTTTGTTGTAATTTTTGCGGTTTTAGCATTGCAAGGATTCTCTCCAAATCATAAAATAACGAGTTTTGCGGAAGCTAAAGGTTTAGATGCGATCAATGAACGGATGCCCCCGAGGAAAGATGCGCCCCCGTCGCCGGCTGAGGAAACGCCACAGGACCACAATCACACCCAAACTAATGCACACTCGTGAGCAACACTTAAATAGGACATCACATTGGCCGGATGCAGGTTTGTAATGGTTCAGTGTTGCCAACAAAAAAATAAATCACCAAATCCGAGGTGAAAAAGTTGGTTTTCTTGGTACAGACAATTATTGTTTAAAAAAATTAATAAAAACTTAATAAGATTAAAAAAAAAACATCCAATTTACTGTTGGTCATTTATTTACTTTGTTTATTTTTAATAAAGTTATTGTTAACACAAAAAGTTATTGTTGACACCATGCAACTAGATTTGATTAACTTTTATATTTTTTTTTCAACTGATATTTTTTTTAAACAAAATTTTTAGTAAAAATAGAACATACTGCACATGTCTGTATCAACAATATTAATATCTTCCAAAATATGAAAAAAAAAATTGGGTCTATTTAAAATTAGAAAGTTGAATATAGCGCAAAATATACAATTACATTTAAAAAAATTCTAAAATTGTTAGCTTATACTATATTAAAAGCCATTTGAATTAGTTTTTTAATTTTTGAAATCAGGCCATAAATAAAACTTCTACAGCGCTTGCCGTTTTTTTAGGATTACCCTATATAACAATTTAGTTATGACGAAATCTCTAAACCGAGTTTTCAGCTTAAATTTAAACTAGTGAAAACGCAAAAATGACAATTTTCGTGTTTTTTCGACTTGTTTTTAACAAATTTTGCGAAATAATTGCGTTTCTACCTGAAAAACGTGCTAAGACGCTCGAGAAATGCAAAAATAATATAATTTTCGACTTAATTTGTTGAATTTCTGGTTTGTTTTAGCGAAATCTTGCTAAAAACTTGAGATTTTAGTACAAAAACGTGTTAAAAGCATTTTCGACCATATTTTGTGGTTTCCCGGCTTATTTTTGTCTCGATTTTGCTCAAAAACAAATTATATCAAGTGAAACAAACAAAATAACGTCAAAATCAATTTTTATTGTGATTTTTTGACCAAGATTTTGCAAAATAAATGAGGCTTTGGTACAATTTTTTCGTTAAATTTGGTATACTTTGGTTTAATTTTGTAATTTCTTCCCCTGTCTAAACGAAATTTTTCCATTTTTTTTGTTTTCAACTCAAAAACTTGATTAAACACTCGAAAAAAAGGCAAAAATAATGATGTTTTTGACCTATTTTGTTAAATTTTTGGCTTGTTGTTAACAAAATGTTGCAAAAAAAGAGTCATTTTCGACCTTGTTTGGTAAAATCTCGTAAAAACAAATAAATAAAACAATTTTTAATCAGTTTGGTGGTTTTTCATTTTTTTATTTAAGATATTTGTCGAAAAAACCCAGTCAGTCTAAAATTTAGGTAAAAATATAATCTTTTTTATAATAATTTAGTGTCGAAAAAACGGATTTTTCAGCTCAAAAATTTGCTTAAACTCTCGAAAAAGCAAAAATGGCATCATTTTCGTCCAAATTCTGTAATTTTTCGGCTTGTTTTTAACAAAATTTTGAAAAATAATCTCGTTTTTAGCTGAAGAGTGTTAAAACCCTCGAAGAATTCAAAAATAATATAGTTTTAATTAATTTGTTGAATTTTTAGTTTTAGACAAAACTCGCGAAAACTTGAGATTATAGTACAAAAACGTGTTGTAAAAGTATTTTCGACTAAATTTTCTCGGCTTATTTTTGTCTTAATTTTACTCAAAACCGAGTGAAATTGAGTGAAACAAACAAAATAACATCAATATCAACTGTTTTTTGTGATTTTTAAGCATGTGTGGACACGAATGAACCTCTGTTCCAAAAACTAAGTAAATCGAGCGAAACAAACTAAAAAATAATATCAATTTCGATTTAATTTTGTGATTTCGCATTTTTGGTGTTTTTTTTTTTTTTTCAAAAACGTGCGTAAACACTCGAAAAGCGCAAAACTTTTTGGCCTATTTTGTTGACTTTTTGGCTTGTTTTTAATGGAATTTTACAAAATATTGTGTCTCTAGCTGAAAAAACATTCGAAAAAGGCAAATGTAAATTGTCATTTTTGACCATCCAGTAATTTATACAGGGTGTTAAAAAAAGATTGTAAAATATTTAAGGAGATAACAACATGGACCAAAATAAACAAGTTTTTGGAATCTTTTCTGGAAGCTTCTTCAAATAGATGTTTGAAAAAACGAATAATTTTCTATATCTCCGAATATTAAATATTTTACAAACTTTTTTAAACCCCCTGTATTTGTGCAAACTTTGAAACGCGCTTGTTTTTCCAGGAATCTGCAAAGGCGCTCACCTCTATTACATGTTACATCTTTCTTAGATTCTAGCAACATTTTTTCATTGGGACGACAGGCTCGTTCACATCTTAATGAACAAGTAGCTGGTCTGCTTCCTCTCTTTCTCTCTCTCTCTGTCTTGTTATTTCCGCTATTCGTGCCTCGCTATCGCACACTGCTCTACCGCTACTTTTGCTTAAGGACAATCATTGTCCCGTATTATCATTCCATAATATCTACTGGGTTTTAATCGTTAGCCACACCAATCGGGTCCTCTTAGAGCCACTTGATGATTATTTCTTTCAATATTATTATAAATGTAAACGTGTCGTCTGAAATTTGTTGTAACCAGTAGTTAAGTAGTAATTAAATAAATAAATAAATAGTAATCACATTGAAATTGTATATCGGTCAGCAGTGTGAAATAGCGAGCTCGACTAGCTGGTCGCACGTGTTGAGTGATATAAGCGTGCCATACCCACCTGTCGCCACATCATCATCATCATCACTATGTGTTAATTTAAAAGATATTGATATAATATACAGGGCGATTTTCAAATACACAATCACAGTTGTATATTTGAAAATGGCCATTGTAACATTAACTTGATTGTGCGAAATAAGTACATTTTATCTCTCTATTAATATAGAAAGTGTTTGATTTTAATATTAACACAACCACATCTTTGCTACGAGCTGTACTTATTTTTGATTGTACAAATTGTGTTATACTATTAAATGGTTAATATTAACTTTCCTCTGTGTCTGAGCGAGACGAGAAAACTGTGTATATATATAATACGTGTACAAAATTTCAACCCAACCTTCACTGAAATTCATTATTGTTGTTGCGAATCTCCAGCACCGAGGACTGTTGTTGTTTTAGTAGAAAAAAATAAATAAAATAATCTCATCTTGCTCGGACATGGAGCGGTGTGAATGTCAAAATTCAGTTGTGTGCCAGCGTGTGTTAAGTTGTAATACCTATTAATCTTGAAATTCTGTAAATTTACTCTAATATATTATATACATAATATGGTATAGTTGATTATTAGGTATATCTCAACCAACAACTATCGGATAACTAATTAGAACGATATCAAAATTTAATATGGCGTCCCTTGACTTTTATACAAATGTGACAACACGGTTGCTTAATTACCAGTCATGACGTGGGTGGCTTCTTGAAACTATATTTAGCGTTGCTAATCACGTTAGCTAGTCATTTCATTCACTACCTCTCACCTGTACATAAATTGTGTTGTTTATTGTAAAAGTCTAAGAACAACAGCAATAAAATGACATTTTTCCAATGTGCGATTGTGATTAGTGGAGACCAAGCGCTAAATATACTTTTAATTGTAGATTGTAGGTCATGACCTTTCGTTTTTCGACTGATTTGATTACCGATATTTTGGTGGTTTTGGGCGAGATTTCGACAACACTGGAATAAAGGCGGTGCCGAAATCGCGACCACTTTTATTATTATTGTAATGTTGAGCATCCTCCAAGGCTCGGTATAATTTGTGATAGCTATCCTGATTTTGAATAGCTTGGTCTCACGTGGGCACGTGCCCATCGTGATGCGCATTTTTTTGAAAATAAACTTTAAAATTGTATAAATATAAAACTATCTATATGCCTTCATACTTCCTAACTTATTATGATTATTGATTATATATAATAATGCACTGAAGTATTGGGATGTTAGACTTTTAATACTTTAGTACTATCACTGTGCCACTTTTAGTGGCCGTTTTAATATTAATCTCAGTACTGGAATTTGACATTTTGAGAGAAATGCCACCTTTTCATCAATACTCAACAATGACATTGTTTGTTTACTGATCTCATCATCGAGCATCGGCGTGACTGACATCAAAAGGGTGGTGTTTTGCGGGCAGGCAGTGTGCATGCATATTTCCAGTACGTCTAGAATTAGCTGAATGTTTTTAAATAATTGAATATACATACATTATATACATATTACAAATGCGTTGGTATAATTCATATCAATCGAAATGTGCAATTTAAGATGGACAAACTTCTAAAGTTCTGCATGTTACATTTGGCAGTTGTTTATCTGTGATCGCCTTGCGTTACTGACTTTTAAGTTGTGTTTTACTTCTGTCAAACATCTCGGTTCGTTTATTGTAATGTTACAATTATTCTACATTTCAATTGTAATGGATATTTTCATTTTGTGTTCTTATTAAATATACATCATTGAAAATCCTGACTTGGCCTTTCTCTCATTCACCGACTAAACAGGACAGGTATTTGATAAAAGAACAAATCCCATTATGAATATATTTCAACACTGTCACTTATTACAGACAATTACGTATCCTAAACTAGAAAAAAATTAATTATGAAGCATCCATTAGACTAACCTAGAATCTGAAAATTTTACTGCTTACGTATCTTCTTGCTTTTAGGACCGGCACCATTTTTAACCGCGCCCCCTGATCGACGTGTAAGCCGTGGCGAATTAGCCGTAATTTGCGACACTTCCTCTTTCTGTTCTTCTTCCACAGCTGCAACAACTGGTGGTTCCTCTTTAACAACTGGTTCCTGAACTTGTTCAGATTCGGTCTTCATTGACACATCCTCATCGTTACAAGCTTCTTCCGGATCATACATTTCTTGTTTGAAATTTTCCGGTTCCTCCTCTGGGGCTTCCTCATGACACGCCTCTTGACCGTCCAAATCACGTCTACGTTTCTTATTTTCTGCGTCTTTTGCTGTCTCTTCAGACTGCTTCTTATATTTAGCCTTGACGGTCCCAACGAAAGCGTAATAATGTGCTTCAGTCCTCAAGTGTGCCTAACAAAAAAATCTAAAATCTAAAATCCTACTTATCCACATCCTAAGACAAATTCATATTTTAACCATTTGGTCTTTGCGGCCGAACAGTGCGACCGATTTTTACCAAATGTTTGTGCAGCGTCCCCTTCCAAATTTCAAATTTCTAGCTCTTATCGTTCTCGAGATATGCTGTTTACAGACACACACACACACACGACCCAATGGCCCAAACAAAATTTTTTGGTGTCTTGAAATGTAAAAATCTGGGTATATCAAATTTCATCCGATTACATTGTAATTGTAATTTTTCAATTACAACAAAATAATGAAATTACCTGAGCATATTTCTCATTTTCAAAACTCTTGTGACATATTTCACACATGAAACCGGAAAAAGGTTTCAAACTCTGTGTGGCAATTGGACGATTTTTCTTATACGCTGGTATGCGATTCTGTAAATTATTCAATTCATCAGACAACTCCAAAATGGGATTCTCTTCCTCCATTTGGATGCTTTCCTCCAAAAGCGGCTCCAAATCAATTTCCAACTCTTCTTCAATAACATCACCATCTAATTTAACGAAATAAAGTTAAAGTGAATTTTTATTTTACTGTTTTGTTTTACCTTCTCCTCCAACTTTACTCTCAAGCACTTCATTAAGGGTCCGCAAATGATCTGGGGTCAACCGATGATCAACCCAATCCATACGCGAGGGGAATTCTTTCCCGCATATATCACAATTGGGGTGCAAGAAACGTTTCAGACGTTGATGACCTTCAGTCCTGAAAACAACATGAAACAAACTGAAAAACTAGCACAAAAAACTTACTTGCGATGTGCAATAATCTTTCCTAGAAATTTCAAATCGCACATGTTGCAATGACTCTCCGGTTCTTGATATTTCCGTATAAATTTATCCTTGAGAAGACGATGCATTCGATTCAATTCAATGACTTTCTTCTCCTCAGACAAGCGCATATTTTCGCGTAAAATATTAACAGTCACTAGGAAACTCTCTTCAAGACTGTTCAACATCTGTCTGTGGGCACGACCTAAAAGAAAAACTAATTAAAGAAAAAAAAACAACGAGAAAATGAAAATTCACCTCTGATGTGCTTCTGGAACGACTCCCCATCCCACATATCCTTATTACAAACAAAACAATGCAAGAATTTTTGTGGCACCCCGTAGTAATTTCCATCAAGATCTCTCGGTTCTTCCTCCTGTTTTTGTTCTTCTGATTCATCTTCTTCTTCTTTTTGATCATCAGTCTTCTTTTCTTCCTTCCAACCTCGTTTTGTCTCCTCAGCACCATCATCATCTCTTATATCTTCACTTGACAAGTCAATTGTTGCTAATTTATCGTCTTTTGTTTTTTCTTTTTCTTCTTTTCGTGCTTCAGGTTTGCGTTTTTCATCTTTGACATATTTCGGTTTAGTTGGTGAACGTTTGTGGTTATCGCGACCGGTGAAAGAACTGCGATTTCGGTTAGTCCCCGAATTTTTATTCGAGTCCAATTGACGCCAACCCCCATTTCGGTTCTATCAAACGATTAAAGGGTAATAACAAAGTTGTATTTTAGGGTAGGTGGTTCATTTTTTAAACAAATGTCAGCGTTGGGTTGGTATGAGCCACGTGATAGGTTGGCAACGAAATAGTCGCCATTTTGAATTTAAATTTAGAATTAGAAATTGACTGTATTTTTTGGGGGAATTTTGCCACTGACAACTGTTTTAAAAAAATCGACTTGTTATAAATCATTGTACCTTGTGTTCGGGTTTTGTGGCAGTAAATAAACTTGGATAGGAGTGAAATAAGACTAAAATTTTTATTTTAATAAAAGTGCTGCCTGAAATGGGGAAAAAAATCTAAAATAGAAAGCGTGGTTGCACTTTTTGACAGTAAAATTCAAAATGGACACTTGAGGCAACTTGATTTTGATGATGGCAACGCAATCATCATAATAAAAGAATGATAAGAGGGTCTGGTCAATCCAGAAACAAGAAAAAGAGAAAAATTGTTAAATCATACCTTATTGTAAGGCTCATTTCGTCTGAAATCAGACCGGCCTCTGTTACCAAACCGATTAAATGAATCGCGGCTATCTTGGTGAGGAGAAAAAGCAGGAGACGTATTCAAAGAAAGTAATGACGGTGGATTGTTCATTTGTTGTTGCTGGGGCTGTAGTAAGTTGGTTAAAGCAAGAGCTAGTTGTTGGGGATTTGCAGCCAACTGCCCTAGCAAACCCGAAGGGTTCAATGAATTGTTAGAAGGCATGTTCCCCTGCCAGGGGTTAACATTGCTCCCTTGAAACGGCTGATGCTGAGAAAACGAGCGATTGCCTCTTTGAGGTCCGCCCATTCCACCAAGTCTTCTATTTGCCATGATTAGGACTTTCAACTATACAATTGCAAGAAATAATCAATTAGAAAATCGGCTCATGCCACGGCCATAAAATCCAGCTCAGAAGACCAAATCACTAAAAATAACAACTAACCAAACCACACTTACCCCACAACACCAATTTTTCCTATTTTCTTCCAAGAAAAACACCAAAAAACACACTCAAACTTTTTGGGACGCCAACACACAACCACAAAATGGCGGCGAACAATTGCGCATGCATTTCCGGCACAGGCATACCAACCTCTACATCACCACCACATTTGAATGTTTTTAATAGAAAAAAAAATGTTTATCACACTATTTGGCCCAACAAATGCGTTTTGTGGTTAATTTCACCACGTCTCGTTTTTTATTATAATACAGAATTGTTTTTATTCCTTGTAATTTCTTGTGCCTATCTTCGGTACGTTGAGGTGCCAACCTAAGAAATCAGTTGTGTTTTTACGTTTCTAGTAGTGTAATTAATTTCAGCGCTCTTTGTACGTGAAATGCAACCGAAAAGTGTGATTTCCACGGGGGGCAAAAAATTCTAAACCGGTCGAACCGGCCTGAAGCCCACCCAGGGCTGCCAACCCCCACGTGAATTACCCCTTTAATTCCGCCGAAATAACAAGTAGTCGCATTATTTATCACCGTAGTGCTCCTTTGAGTGGTTGGGGCCCCAAACCGTGCCCCCCTGACGCAAACTTGTGCAATGTTATTGTTGCTTTGACCCGCGCCTAACTTCACAGTTGTGTCAAATTCGTCGTGAGTGTTGTCCTCGAGTCATTCCTCAAAACCAAAAAATCTCATCATGTCAGACTGGGACACAGTGACTGTGTTAAAAAAGCGGGCCCCCAAAGCCTCCACAATGAAGAGCGAGCAGGCTGTGAATGCGGCGCGCCGCCAAGGCGTCCCCGTCGATACCCAACTCAAGTGTAAGTGTGACATTTTTCCAGAACGTTTTTGTCGTAATTTGGGGTTTGCAGGGGGCGCCGGGGGCAACAAACAGCACGTGGCGACGAAAAACACAGCGAAATTGGACCGGGAGACTGAGGAACTCAAACACGAGACTATCTCGTTGGACGTGGGGCGGATCATCCAACAGGGGCGACAGGCCAAGGGACTCAGTCAGAAGGACTTGGCCACCAAGATCAACGAGAAGCCCCAAGTCATCACGGACTACGAGGCCGGGAGGGGCATCCCCAATAACGTCATCATCGGGAAGATCGAGAAAGTGATCGGCTTGAAATTGAGAGGTAAAGACCGCGGAAAACCACTCCTACCCCCGGGACAGAAGAAGTAAGTGTCCTGGGGGGATGGCCAGTTTTTTTATAATTGCGTTAAGTGTCACGAGGGTCTTAGGAACTGTTAAATTTAGGGATTTATGTACTGAACCCAAGTTGTTTCTATTCAAATTTTATTACACTACAATAAATGTTACAAGGAGTCGGCGGCGAATTCCTTATTTCAGAACCAGTTTTCAGTTTCTAATAATAAAGAAAAACACAAGAAATTGTTGTTTATTACGCACTGAAACCCCAATTAATTCCAACTGTGCGAAACGATTCCTCCACTTTTTTATTAATCATCACGTGAAAGTAATAATTCGAATATTTAAGTGTGAATTTGTTATAATTTTTATTTATTGTATGTGGTAGAATTAGAAATATTCCTTTACCGAAATATTTGTTAAAAATAAAACAATCAATACCAAACACTGATTTATTACCACACAAGACAATTAATCTTTCCTCAATTGAAAACTGTCTTCTTTGATACCCTCCTTGGTGATGACATTAATCAAAATACTATCCCCCGTGAAAATATCCCTTTCAGCGGCTGAAATAAACACGTCTTTGATGATCGCAGTCGCCTTCTCTAATGTCAATTTAGCCTCCTTGACATTTTGCATGTTTTTCAACCCGATTTGGTTATCTAACAGGGGTTGTAAAAGCGCCCCTGCGGAGCCCCCCGCCCTGTACGTAGTCTTCTCGCAATGCCCAATCGGGTCGTAGCTATAAATACACCCTTTCCCTTCATTATCCAGCCCCACAAGAATATTAGAAATGTAATAGGGGAAAAACCTCTTGTAGTACAGCATTGTTGACAACATTTGGGCACAAGCCGGCGTGGCCATGGTTTTGTTGTGCTCCTGTTGGTACATCTGCATACGAGCGCTCAAAATACGAGTCAGAGTGAGAGTGTCGCACCAACAACCTGAACACCCCAATACTGTGGTGTCCGATAATCGGAACAACTTGTTTTGGTCTCGAGTGTAGATGGAGAAACCTGCACTGAGACGGGTATCAGCCCCGATTATCACGAAGTCGTCACCGGCGATCGCAACCACACTCCTGAAAAAGGGGGCTGTAGAGGAGTTTTAAACGGGGAATGCTTACCCGCCGTTGTCGGCATAGGGGCTAAAGTGGTGCTGAGTGGGGGCTGTGGCGTAGTCGGGGTAATGGGGACGGTTTTCCGCGTGTAATAAAGCCATCTCGTACAACACAAAACTCAAATTGAATGACAATACAAATTCAACTGTCAATTGTCAATTGTGCGTGCGACCGAAGTCGCACACGACCAAATTAATCGTTTAGAAATAGAATTTTTCAATACGAAATGCACGGAAATTATAAATTCCGGGACAAAATCATATATATAATACTCTATATATTATATATATGGTCAAAATGAGCCTGTTGCGTCCTAATTAAAGTTTTTAAATATTGCAGAATGTGTTTATGACCGAATTTGGTGCGTGTAAATTTGGTTGCCTGACCACAACTTTTTATTCACTAATCAAATTTTGTTATCTTGTGATAAATAACGAACACTAATCTTATCACTGGTTACTCAAATAGTCGAAATATTAAGTTTTTCAAGTAAAAAAGTTGGTAGTGAACCGAAAATCATGGCAACCTATTCAGTATTGCCAACGCAAACCTAGTGTAATCGTTCAATTTTTTTTTGTCTAACTTGAAACTGAATCAGTGTAACTACTAAAACCCAATGTTACTTTAATAAATTATTATTTTTTAATTATTTGTTTTAATCTATACTCTTTTTCATATCAATGTGCATCAAGTAGGTTCTAGAAATCTAAATGCATCATTAATTTAAACGCCGATTCACACAAAAAGTGTCATTAGTGTCATTCAAAACAAATTTAATCACATCAATAATAATGATAAAAATCTTTATGTTTGCTATTCTTGTTGATTTTAATTATTTTTTGCTACATGGGGTAGACATTTATTTGAAAAAATAATTTTTAGGGAAGATTGAGGTTAAGATTTGAATTTTCGCATGGTTGCCATTAAAAAACGACTACTTTGATGCACAGTAATATGAAAACATGTTATCTGTTCACTGTTACCACATTTTCTTATTGTGTAATAAATTATTTTCATAGTGGCATTTATCAGGAAAATATCTAAAAAAAAATAAATATGTATTTTAAGTTATCAAACACTAATCTTATCACTAGATATTCAAATACTTAAATCCAACTGTTAGATTTTGCAAGTAAAAAAATCAGTAGTTTTAGGTTGGTGACAATGAGATTAAGAGCATTTTCATTCTTGCCAACTCAAAGCAATTAAGTGAAACTGGAACAGATTTTGGAAATTGCACAACAAAGTAGCACCTTCCTGGTAGTAATATAGATTTTGATCAAAATTTTGTATTGATATTGACGCATCCTTATCGATAAGATTACAATAATTCATTTAATACAATCGCTTTGTTCGTCGAAAACCGTCCCCAAATCAGTTTTTCTATTTGCTTAGTTAATTAATTATGCAGACGGACGCTGCCCCCAATATTTCCAAACAAAATGATCCGTTTTTGAGCCCCGAATGTGAAATTAATCAACACGAAAAGATCACAATTGGTGAGTTGAAATTTTTTACAATTAAAAAAAAATGAGAAATTTTAGTCCAAGATAAGAATGTTGAACGGTTTGTTGAACGTCAGGAGCTTTTATTGTCTCCGTTTGAATACCAGAGAATGGGGGAAGACCCCGGATTGGTGCTAATTTTCAATCAAGAGTTATTCGAAGATCAACCTTATCGACTTGGGAGTCGAAAAGACGTTAATGAGATTATCACAACAATGAGTCGTTTGGGTTTCAATATCCACGATGAAAATATTTTCAATAATTTGACAAGAGACCAAATTTTGGATACAGTCACAAAACGTAACAGAATTTTTGAAAAATTGTCCCAAATTAATTGAATTTTAGTCGTAGCTAAGGACTTGTCACAAGTCAATAGTCTAATAGTGTTTTTTCTCACACATGGTGATAGTTTCAATCTATTACACGCCACTGATTTCACACTCAAAACCCACGAATTGTGGGAGAAATTCGTGAAATGTGAACATCTGAAAAACAAGCCGAAAATGTTCATTTTTCAGGTAAGAACACGATTTTATAAAACCGAAATTAACCGACTTTTAGGCTTGCAAAGGTGATTATCATTCCACAACGTGGGACCAAAACAAGGAAAAAATCGATTTGGTACCACAAAGTACCTTCGAATCGAATTACCTGGGCCCAGACATGCTGATTGTTTATTCAACAACTGAGGGTAAATAGTAGGCTTGGTATCTCTCCCCACTTATTTCTAACTGTCTTAATACGCATGCGTGACGTAGTGTTGGTTTAACTACAATTCCATAAAATAAATACTGATAAAATATTTTTTATTAAGGGTAAAATAAATGAAATATATACATAGGCAAAAAAATATAAATTTGTTTTGTTATAACTTGCAATGTTTTGTTATATTTTTTTTGATTTTATTAGAAATTTTCTCGATAACTATTTATCGTAGAACTCTGATCTTTTTTGTATATAATAGAAAATTAAATCTTCTTTCCAACGTTACCAAACTTAAGAGGTTATTACCAATAAGTCCGGAGTTATTGGCAATAGACCGCTCCGGGTGCCAAAAATCGACCAAAATCAAAAAAAATTTAACTTTAAAATTGATCCATTTAACGTTTTTTACATTTCTAGAGGTCTTAAAAACTCAAAAAAGTGCATAAAAAATTACGAATTCTTTGGGTTTTTGAAAGAAATCATCTGTGATAATTCCGAAAAAAATTCTAGTAATTCCAAAACGAATTCTACCAAACTTCTAGTAATTCCAATAATACACTGTAATTTCATTGTTTTAAGATTAAGTAATTCCTATAATTCCATTCTTGATAAAATTATGTACAACTAATTCCAATTTTAAAAACATTCCTGAAAAATTCCAGTATTTTCAAAAAAATTCCACCTAAATTTTAGTACCAATAATCCATCGTAATTCCATTGTTTTCAGAATAATTCCTCTTGTTTCAACTTAATTTTTTTAATTCTAAATTAATTCCGATAGTTCTAAGAAATTCAATATAATTTTGAAAAAAAATTACCTCCGATAATTCCAAAATGAATTTTAGTACATAATTCCAAAAAAAAATTCTAGTAATTCCAATAATTCATCGTAATTTCATTATTTTCAGATTAATTTCTATAATTGCAAATTAATTCCTGTAATTACAACTTAATGCCCACTTAATTTTCGTAATTCAAAGATATTTCCTGCAATTCCAAATTAATTTAGAAAGTTCTAAGAAATTCAATGTAATTTTCAAAAGAAATCGTCTCTGACAACTCCAAAAAAAAATCCACCAAATTTATAGTAATTATAACAATCCATTGTAGTTCCTTTGTTTTCAGATTAATTCTTATAATTCCAAATTAATTCCTGTCATTTTAACGTAATTCTGACTTAATTGTCCTAATTCCAAAATAACTCGTATAATTCCAAATTAATTCTAAGAAATCCAATGTAATTTTCAAAAAAAATCATCGATAATTCCAAAAAGAGAATTCCATAATTCCAAATAATCCAAAGATAATTTTTAAAAATTCGAAACATTTTCGATTAAATTCCAAAAATTTGTACAAATGTCTCAAATTTAGTTAATTTTTTATTAAAAAAATCTAAGTAATTTGTTTTTGCCAAATTTCTAAATTTAGCATTTTCTTGATGAAACAACAAATTTCGGACAAATTTTTGCAATATACCGTAGTAGAATTTTGTCAATTTTTCAGTAAAAAACATTCTAAATTGAACATGAAAAGCTATTTCAATCTTAATCATCTGCTTTTTATATTAGCAAAATTTTTCAAATTTATCGGTGAAAAATTATTGACAAATTTTTCCTTTTTTTTATTTTGTAAATTGCGTCAAAACTGTGTCTCAATGACATAATATTTTGACCTAAACCTATGTAAAATGTTCCGGGGAATCGATTGGCGTCAATTAAACTGCAAAATTCGTAGTAGTTTTGAAGTTATAGTCGGATTTAAATTCTCGATATTTTTGACTTTATCAGAAATTTTCTCGATAACTATTCATCGTAGAGCACTGAACTTTTTAATGTATGATAGAAAATTCAATTTTCTATCCAACGGTACCAAATATAAGAGGTTATCTCCAACAAGTCCGGAGTTATTGCCAATAGACCGTTCCGGATGCCAAAAATCGACCAAAATCTCCACAAAAATCAAAAAAAAATTCAACTTTAAAATTGATCCATTTAACGTTTTTTACATTTCTAGAGGTCTTAAAGACTCAAATAAGTGCATAAAACGCCATTGGGTCAAGTTTCAGAAAATTTTGAATTTTTTGAGTTTTTGAAGGTGAGCGGTAGTAAAATCGTAAAAATAGTCAATTTACCATAAGTCGTAAAAATGCTTAAAATATGGTTTATCTTATTCGCTTCAAGTTTACGTAATAAATTTTGATTATCACCGCGATATTTCTTAATTAGTAGTGGGGGGAGGTGGCACAAGCCCTACTTGCGTGATTTTTTCAGGAAACGTCTCGTTTCGTGACCCCAAAAACGGCACTTGGTTTATCCAAGAATTGTGTAAGAATTTCTCGGCTTATGGACGCCGAGACGACGTGATTTCACTAATTATGCGAACAACGAAATGTTTATGTCGGAATTATTACCACAATGAGGAGGAGATCATCAAAAAACAGATGCCCATTTTTGTGTCGACTTTGAAAAAAAAGTTTTATTTGAATCGAAGCAAGGATAGGAATGCCTGGTTTCAGTTGTTGAAAAATCAAGAAAGCATGATGAGGAGTATTGAGGAATTGAAGGAGAAGATTAACGAATTGTTGAAAACGAAATAAGTGATAATTGATAATTTGTGTATTGATTAATAAAAAATCAACCAGTTTTTTTCATTTATTAATTTCATTACCCCCAAAATGTTTGGCCTAGAGGGGGTGGGGGGGAGATGGAAGTAGTGGTTGGAGACCATGCAAAAGGGTTGTTTAGGGATGTTTCATTGCTATCACAGTCCTCTTCGTCTTCTGTATTTGGCTAAAAAACGAAGTTTTGCCTAGTTGAGGAAAATCAAACAAGGACTTACCGGAGGGGCAGTAATGATCATATTACAACATGCAATCACGAGTAAAAATACTATTAACATTCTTATTGGTTGTTTTTTAAGCGTTAAAGCACTTTACGCAACTGAAAACTAATTGTTACCGTGCATTTTTTTAAGATTCGTAAAGTTTAAGTGCCAGTTCATTTTTTATTGTAATTATAAATTTTAGGAGCAGTATTTTGCACAATTAAACAAGTAAATGCATTTTTTTAAGTTTGCTAACAAAAAAACCATCTAAATCAAAGAAAACAGGTGAAGATGACACATTTCAGAACTCTATAATTCCAAGTTAATTTTCGTAATTCTCAAATGATTCCTGTAAATCCAAATAAATTTAACGTAATGAAAAAAAATCATCTACGATAATTCCAAAAAGAATTCCACCGTGTTCAGATTAATTCCTATAATTCTAATTTGTAATTATAATTAATTCCAACTTAATTTTCGTAATTCCAAAATAATTCCTGCAATTTCAAATTAATTCCAAAAGTTCTAAAAAGTTTAACCGAAGTTTCAAAAGAAATTATCTCTGATAATTCTCAAAAGAGAATTCTTGTGATTTCAGAAAAATTCCAATAATTCACGAATAATTCCAGTAATTCCAAACAATCAAAATATATTTTTAATAAATTTCCAATTCATTTCAAGCAATTTTGGTTAAATTCCAAAAATTTGTACAATTAACTTCAAAATTAACTGCCCCTCGGGCCGTTAACTTGAAAAAATTATGTACAATTAATTCCAATTCCAAAAAATCCAGTAATTTCAAAAAAATTCTACCTAAATTCAAGTAATTCCATTGTCTTCAGATTAATTCCTCTTGTTCTAACTTAATTTTTGTAAATCTAAATTAATTCCGATAGTTCTAAGAAATTCAACATAAATTATCTCCGATAATTCCTAAAAGAATTTTAGTAATTGCAAAAAAAATCCACCAAAATTCCAATAATTCCAATAATTCGTCTTAATTTCATTGTTTTCATATTAATTCCTATAATTTCAAATTAATTCTTGTAGTTACAATTTAATTCCCACTTAATTTTCATAATTCAAAGATAATTCTGGCAATTCCCAATTAATTTAGAAAGTTCTAAGAAATTCAATGTAATTTTCAAAATAATCCGATAATTCCGATAATTCCAAGAAAATTCCACCGAACTTCCAGTAAAATTCCATCGTGTTCAGATTAATTCCTATAATTCTAAAATATTTTTTGTAATTACAACTTAATTCCAACTTAATTTTCGTAATTCCAAAATAATTCCTCCAACTTCAAATTAATTCTAAAAGTTGTAAAAGAAATCATTTTCGATAAATCCAAAAAGAGAATTCTAGTAATTCCAAAAAAAAATCCAATAATTCACAAATAATTCCAGTAATTCAAAACAATCAAGATATATTTTTAATAATTCCAAATACATACCTCAAATAATTCCAAGCAATTTCTGTTGAATGTCAAAAATTTATACAATTAATTTCAAAATTGAAGGTCCCTCGGGCCGTTAACTTAAAAAAATATATATAACTAATTCTAATTCCAAAAAAATTCCAGTAATACCAAAAAAAATTCACTTAAATTCCAGTAATTTTGATAAGTTCTCGTAATTCCATTGTTTTCAGATTAATTCCTATAGTTCCAACTTAATTTTTGTAATTCTAAATTAAGTTCGATAGTTTAAGAAATTCAGCATAATTTTGAAAACAAAATATCTCCCATAATTCCCAAAAGAATTTTAAAAAAATCCACCAAGATTCTAATAATTCTTTTTAAATTAATTCCTATAGTTCCAAATTAATTCCTGTAATTACAACTTAATTCCAAAATAATTCCTGTCATTCTAAATTAATTCCAATAGTTCTAAAAAATTCAACGTAATTTAAAAAATAAATTATTTCCGATAATTCCAAAAAGAATTTTGGTAATTCCACCGCAATTCTAGTAATTCCATAATTCATTGTAATTTCATTGTTTTCAGAATAATTCCTAATTAATTCTTGTAATTTTAACTTAATTCCAACTTAATTATTGTAATTCCAAAATAACTTCTAAAATTCCAAATTAATTCTAATAGTTTTTCAATTTTCAAAAAAAAAATTTCTCCGATGATTCCAAAAAGAGAATTCTAGTAATTCCAAATAATCAGAAGATAATTTTAATAACTCCAAATAATTCCAAGTAATTTCGATTAAATTCCAAAAATTTCTACAACTTATTCTTGATTTTTGCCTAACTGTCTGGAATTTAGTGAGTTTCTTGTTTAAAAACGTCTAAAAAAATTTTGCGATTTTTTTGTCGAAATAACAAATTTTGGACCAATTTTTGCAATATACCGTTTTACTGTGGTGAAATTTTTAATTAATTTTCGTAATTCTCAAATAAATCCTATAAATCCAAGTAAATTGTAAAAAAATTAACGTAATGTAAAGGAATCATCTCCGATAACCCCAAAAAGAATTCCAGCAAAAAATTCCAGTAATTTCATAATTCATCGTAATTGCATTGTTTTCAGAATAATTCTTATAATTTCAAATTAGTTCTTGTAATTTCAACTTAATTGTTGTAATTGCAAAATAACTTCCAAAATTCCAAATTAATTCTGATAATTTTAAAAAATTCAACGTAATTTAAAAAATATCTCCGATAATTCCAAAAAAAACTTCCAGTAGTTCCAAATAATCAAAAAATAATTTTAATAACCCCAAATAATTCCAAGCAATTTCAATTAAATTCCAAAAATTTGTACAACTAATTGCAGGGCGAATTTAATTAAAAAAATGATCTAAAAAAAATTTTAATTTAACGATTATCTGCCTTGTTTGGCAAAAATGCTTTAAAAAGGACTATAAAACGTGTAAATTGTGTTAAACAGGTTTGTATTTTTTAATTTTGGTTGACTGGTAAAAAATAAAACGCATTTCCGGTTTTTTTAAGTTTTTTTCTTATAATACATGCAAATTCTGTGTCCCATTAACAAAATGCTACACACTTCGGCGCTGTTGGAAAACGCCGAATTTTATTTTTTTCCTTTTCGATCTGATTGATAATAGACAATAATTGCGGAGAAGGAACAACAAGAGGAAAGATTGTTTGTGTTGGAAAACGCAGAGTTTTCCGTGGCGAAGATGTACTTTTGATAAGCCGTTTTGTTGTTGGACGCAGTGATGGACATTTTTTATTGAGAATAAGTAACTGAGCACAGTTTCTATTCATGCCTAGATTTACGACTTGGTTTGGACTAACATTGATTACAGGAGGATTTTCTTCAGGACGATATATTGTAATGTGGACTTGTTTTCCATTTTTATCAATTTCAACATCTTTATTACGGTTTTTATCAAACTAAAATCAAAGTTTTAGTAGACAATATTAAAAAAAAAGTGAGATACCTGAGATGGTAACAATAAGTTGTTACAACAAGGAGGTGCACCAATGGTTATGTAACAACAATAAACCAAAAGCAAAAAAACTACTTTCATTTTTAGTTTTTCAATTAAGATTTTTTCCAAACTTCGCCCCTTATAAAGACTTATTGCAATATAATTTATGGCTTATTGTTTTTTACGTTTTATTAATGTTTATAAAATGCAAAAAAATGACTTTTTTATAGTGATTATCAATTTTTCGAAGCAGTATTTAGCACAATTAAAAAAGTTAAAATAAGTAAATCGAATAAAACAGACGAAGATAACACATTTTTAATTGTTTGCGCTTTGTTTTGGCTAAATGTCTCGAATTTAGTGAGTTTCTAACCAATTTTGCAAAATTTCTTGAATTTAGCGATTTTCCCGACAAAATAACACATTTTGTGAATTTCTCAGTAAAATAAAAAAGTTCTGTCTATTGTCGTATCAACAAGAAATTGCTCCCTAGGATTTAGGGATATTCGTGAATAGGTTGCCATGAATTTAGGTTGGTTTTTGGTGACAAACAAAAATGTCGTAACCAGTGTCAAAATTTAGGTTAAGTCACCAATTGATAGTAGAGATGGGCAAAAAATATCGATGTTTTTTAAACATCGAATATTGGTCAAATACATCGATTTAAAAATGTGTAAGAATTTTTTTTACATATCGATGTTTTTACTTCGATACATCGAAATTAGTTCAGTTAATTATTTTTAATTATCTTTAATCTTTTTTAATTTGAAAATTTTATTCGATTAAATTTAAATTCGATGTATGGTGAATTCGATGTTTTCTAACAAAATTAACGATAATGAAGTGATGGTGGTTAAATTTTGTGTTTGTAGTTTGTATTTGTTTATGTTTTATGCAAGAATTGTAAGAAATATGTTTGTATTTGTGTTTTTTATGTTCGAAAAATTTATTATTAAAAAAATTGGTAAATGATTTTTTTTTTCAATAAAAAACATCGATTTTTTTAAGTATCGATGTTTTCTTCGATGATTTCTTATTCGATCATCGATGTCACAATATATCGATATATATTTTTCGATGTACGTACCCATCTCTAATTGATAGTTGACAGGTTGACAGGAAACGTCAATCGTCAACAACAAGGGGTAACCAACCCTAGACATACAAAATTACTTCTGAAAATTCTAGTTACAAACATGAAAAACGTAATTTTCCGAAAAGTTCAAATCCTAGGTGGTAATTTCTTATTGACAAATCTGTATTTAATTGTGGATTATCACAATTTTTACAATTACTCAAAAATTTGACTTGACAAAGAAACACTATTTTTTAAGGTGTGGAAAAAAAACAAACCTATTTTTTTGTTTTTTTATTAAATTTTCAAATTCCAACTTTTATGCTCAATTATTTATTGGCAGAATATTGGAAAACACGGAGATTTATTTTCTTCTTTGGGAGAAGGCCATGCTGGCATAATGGGTGGAGCAGACCATGATGGGTCTGGCATAATGGGTGGAGGCAAAAAAGGATCATCGGGAATTGGGCGTGGAGAAGATGTACTTTTGTTAAGCCATTTTCTGGTTGGACGCGATGATAGAATCGATTTTTTTTTGGGAGGCGGTGGAGGAGGGTCTGTTTTGGGGGGAGGAGGTGGAGGAGGGTCTGTTGTAGTGGGAGGGTCTGTTTTGGGAGGAGGAGGAGGGTCTGTTTTGGGGGGAGGAGGAGGGTCTGTTTTGGGGGGAAGCGCTGGACAAGGTCTTTTTGGGCGACGCGTTGGAGAAGGTTTTCTTTTGGGAGGCATTAGACAAGGTCTTTTTTTGACAGGCAATGAACGACTATTTATGTACTGAAGATTATTCATTTCAACATTTTCAGTGTTCTAAAATTATTAAATTTTTAGTTAACGAAGAAGAATTAAACAATAAAAAAGACTTACATCCGGAATAGGAGCAGTGATTACTAGATTACAAGCAACCAGGAATACAAAAACTATTATCATGGTTTTTTGTTTTTTTCCCAAATCGATCTATTAATCTTTTTGGAAACTTTTTTACTAAATCCACCACAAAATTACCACTTGCAATAATCAAAAATACCTAATAATTCATTGTTGTACCTACATTATTTTTGGCTTCGTAAATTTTAAGTGCAAAATTATAACTTCTTATCTTAATTACATTTTTAACGGTCATATTTTGTCCAATCAAACAAATAAGATTTGAGTTTCTAATTATTTGTTTAAAAATGTTAAAAAATTTCTTATTTCAAAAATCTGTCAATGTTTTGGAAAACTAGGGTTGTGCCAGAACTCAGAGAAAAATTTCAAGTAAGATAAGATAGCAGAAACATAGAAACATGTTTGAAAAATTCTAACTATCAAAAAATTTTGACATTTATTTTTTGACATTTGACATGATTTTATGTCTATTTAATGATACTCATGATCTTGTATACTGGGTGTCCCAACGAGTTGAAAAAGTTCATTATAAACCTTTAAATGGTAAAATTAAAAAAAATTATATAGGACATTGATAGATAAAATTATTTTCAACTATACAGCGTGTCCCAAAAATAAGTTACAACACAAACTTGTGTTTTTTTAAATGAAACACTGTATGTTTCTTGGCATTTTTGGATGAAGCCTTTTAAAACAATGTTTTTACGCTAAACTTTTATTAGTCGATTTGGCTTGGTTTTAAAAATAAGACGTTTTTTTAACGAAAGCATGCACTTTTTAAAAATTTATTACGCAAAAACTAAGACAGCTAGAACAAATTTTTTCTTACTTCTGCAAAGAAGAAAGTAGAGAAGTTTTTAGTGTTTTGCATTTGTAAAGATTAATAAATTAAGAAGTTTGTTAAAAGTTAAATAACTTAACCCTATTTTTTATTTTTGCATCTAATAGATTGATAAATTGTCTATATAAAAAAATAAATTTTTAATGTTTAGAATTGATAAATGAAACGATATTTAACATTCAATATTAATTGTAGCAACAAGTCGTTATAAATACTGAAATTCGAATTATTTTATTGTAAAAATAAAAAATAATGGATTCAGTTTAACACAAATGTGATTATTAAGTGATATTTCTTCCATCTCTTGTGCAACTGTGCACTTTTTGGCTACTGAAACAATAGTAATTATTTTTTTTTAATGTTTAACGTTAAATATCTTTTTAGTTATTGATTATAAACACC